GATCGGGGGGCCTTGTCGGGTGGATCTTCTGGAGTTGGTAGGGTTGTAGTTGGTTCCTTTGGGCGATTTGGAACCAATGATTATTTTGATATTAAATTCCACTTTTGCGACATAGCACTCTTTTTGGAGTTTTGCACGGGTGGCGAATCTGCCGTTTCGTTTCGGGGTTCCCTTTGAAGACAAACCCACTTGAAGCCCTGGCCGGTGAAGGGGTCATAATCCTAACTAGAATTGCCTAGCTTCATAACCCCATTGTGTGGCGAGGCAGCTTGCTTTCAGCTGATTCGTTCCTGCATCTCTTTGTCTCTTTTCTTTGCGGGCTGAAAACATTCACTGAATAACACTATTTTGCCCAAAGCGACTTTTTTCTGTTGAACCCGTTTGTTTCCAAACTGATTGAGCACAATTTGGGCAGTTTCGTTTAGCATGGGTTGTCATGTTTTCCAGGGTCAGCAAAGGCTGTGATTCGTGTGGATATGGTACGCCTCGAGCCATGTTGGTAGCACTGAATCATAAATTCAACGTGTTGTTCTTTGTGTTTGTAAAGCTGCTTATGTTTTGCTTGGACTTTGACATTTAAGCTTGTTTCCTCACCTGGATTTGTTCGTCAAAGGGGGAACGACGTCAACAGTTTGGAACTGGACTCTTTGCGGACTGATTTGCATCACAAGAAGGTCGGCCGGCCTTTCCTCGTCTACAGAACGTGCTTACTTGAGGCGCTGGGTCGACTTCAACGCGGGGGATGCGATGGCTTGTGCGCCAAGTCGGCTGGTAGGATGTTCGACGGCGTGCATTTGCTCGCCTGCTAAGACGAGCGCATACTTGTAGTGAAGAGAAGCAAGCGCGGTTGCTGGAGCCGCTTGAGTAATGGCACCAGATTTGCTCAGCTTTTTCGAACAAGAAGCAAAGAAGCAACATGCCGGATTTCAGTTTTGTTGCTAGTTTACAGACGCGTTGTGAGCCGGGCCCTTCTCAGTTTCGGCATTTGACCAAGCTTGCTAGTTTACTTGCAACATCTTGCAACACTTCTTCAGAGAATGACAGCGGTTTGGAAGCTTCAAAGATGTCACTGATGTGATCGATCGCCATGTGAGGGTCAGAGTCTGACGAGGCTGCTCGGAGTGCTGGTTGATTGCTTTTGAAACAGTGGTTCCGGCGACCACCATGCTGAAAACAATAGGTTGCCACCTTGGTATGTGCCAAAACTGAGGGGCCCTGTAAACCAAGCCAAAACAAATACCTTCAAGCAACGCGCCCCATTTTGCAACCAGCACGATGCAGACTCAATTCATGGCTAAATTGAGCCATGGTGGAATGGATGGTTCTCCAATCGTTTACCCCATTCTTTGAATGACAGTTTGCTGAGTTCAATTCTTCAACTTCTTTGGGCTGGTTGGCCATTTGGGTGTGTCTTAACGGGGATTTGGACCCGCACATGTGGTGGCTTTCTGGTTTTCAAACCAACCCAAAGAAGAGAACCAGGGCCTCCAACAAGTCAAGCCACCCAGACAGCAAGCTGAAGGGGTCTACGACTTACGGATCCCTCGCCTTGGTTTCCTTGTTTTGCACAAGGGAAAACCAACCCAGCGGAAGTTGCAGGGGTCTGAAACTTGGGCGGATCCCTCACCTGGGTTGTTTCCCTGTTTCGCACAAAAGGGCAACCCAACCACGCGGCTCACCCAATCGTCCGGCATCAAAACGTAGGTACCTGTACGACCTCTCCCTGCCTTTGAAGCTGCCGGGGCCCGGCTCCTGGTCGAATGAGAGGTGAGCCTGGACCTCCCGTGGCCAGGTTGTCCAACTTTTTGGGGGGAAGGGTGCCCCATAAACATGACTGGGGTCGTGATTTTGATTGTGTTTTTTGGGAGGTATCAAAGTCGGCCTTTTGAACGCTTTGCTGTTGCATCGGTGATCCAATGCAGTGCTCTGACCCAGCTGTATGCGTGGCCAACACTCCATATTTTTTCAGTGGCCATAGGCATCCTTTTTAGGTTACTTTAACTAGAAATAGATGGCACTGGTTTAGATGGCTTTCATTCCATTTACCAGGGAAACCCATCTATTTTGCCAAAAAGGACACCTATGCCAGTGGCCATTTTCCAACTTTTTTGTGGGAAAAGGTGCCCCATAAAAAAGGACTGGGGTCGTGATGTTGATTGGGTGTTTGCTTTTGGGGGGACTTATCAAAATCAGCAACTGGTTGGTGGTTCCCTTTGAACCTATCAGTTGGGGGGTGACTTTGATACTGGTAGAATAGTGGGTCCATTTTTTTGGGGAGAGGTTCCCCATTAGAATAATCAGCTCATGATATCCCTAACAGCAACCCTCCCGGACAAACCCTGAAAACTCCCCCAAAACGCGAACAAGCCGATTTCTGGCCAGAGACCCCATAGCTGAGAAGCTGTTGGGGAGTAATCACAACCAAACAACTAGACAAGAGTGGCTACTTGCCTCCAGTAGTGGCCATTTTTCATTTTCTCAGGGGCTTCCCTTTAGAAACTCAACACACAAAAGGAAGGGTCCCCTCCATCATGGGAAGCTGGGTTTGGAGCGTTTTGCCCTGTTGCCCTTCTGGAGGGGCAACCACACAAGAGCGGCCTCATTTTTCTCCCATGGCCGCTGGGTGTCAGGGTGTATTACGCCCACTAGTTCACCAGACCTGAGAACCGCCAAAATTAGAACCCTTAACTAGTGGGTCACTGGGTTGACATCACTGCTGTGGATGGGCAAAATCCTGCACCAGTTGCAACAATAGGAAACCCCTTGCTTGTTGATATTTGCGGGGGAATCATTCTCGGTTTTCTGAGGTGGTGCGAAATGGTTTTCGCCTATCCACAGTAGGGGTGCTAAATGGTTATTTGCGCATGATGCTCCCCTAAAGACTCTTCTTAAGTCGGGACTCGCAGGACTTCTGAAGTGCCGGAATGTCCTATGGTTGGCCGAAACCCCAAAAGGGGGCCGTTTCCCGGGCCGAAATTGGTCTGTCTTTTTGTTGAATCAGTACATGTTTGTTTTTGTGTTTTTTTTTAGGGACACCAACAGGAAAACCACATTTTTGGGGGGAAAAGACACACCCAAATAAAGCAGCCTTTGGGGAGCTTGCTTCAAACGAAGATTCCTCTAAGAAGGCCAGAATTCCGTCGTCTAACATAGCCTCCCTAGGAGAAATCAGGTTTATACTTATGGTGGCGTGGCTGCATATTTCATTGGGTTTGTCTCGACATAGGGGGCCCCCAACAAAATGGCGGGCTTCCTTGTGGTTTCCCTTTTTGCACCGACCCCAAAAAGGGTACCGAGCCTTAAAAGAAGACGAGCCACCCAACTCGTGGAACCCCGGCAGTGGTTTGGGGGTGGAAGCGATCGGAGGCTTCTGGAACACGTGAAGCTCCCGCGGTACTTCACGCACTGCTACCTGCAGCAGACCATGAGGCACGTTTGCTGCCTAGTCAACGTGGATATGTTCATTTGGTTTGGGTATGTTGATGGATTGATAGATGCGTAGATACTTTGTCCTTGAAACAAACACCAAAGATAGTCATTCTTGTTTGAGGCCAGATTCCACTGTTGTGGTAGGAACCAACATCAAAGCTGACCCATTGAATTCCAGAACTTCCGGCGGATTTCCGACGGGATTCGGCAGTTTTCGGCCAGGCAGCACTGCTTCAGCAAGTCTTGGCCCACGCTTTTCATCGGCGCGGCCAACTCGCAGGCACGGGGGGGGGGCAGTCGGCGTCCGACTCGGACAACTGCTACTTCTCCTTCAAATTGTCATGCCGCACAGAAAGGACTCCTCTAGGAATAAGGTTTTGTTTGGGCTCCATGTTGCTCAGAGTATGATCCAGCGGTTGATGGATTACGGTCTCTTGATTGCCCAATTCAGTGACTGGTAGTTCATCCTGATCCTTGAGCCTCCATGCCTGATCCCGGAAAGCAAAGTACCTTGGCTCTGAGAGTTAGTGGCTTGTTCATTGAACCTCTCAAAGTTAGTTTGTTTGGTCGAAAGACCCAGTCACCCATCCCTATATTCTGTTCCGGCTGCTAACATGCAACATGCAAATCCCCGTTGCCTTGAGGGTCGGGAGGGGGGGGCAAGACCAGAACGGTTTAGGGAGTATTTGTTGCGGTCCAATGAACTAGCGAATTGCGTGGTAGTTTTGTTCATATCCAAGGGACCCAAATAAGGACGTTGTGACCATGGTACATGTGGAAGTGTGTGCTACGACTCTCAGTGATCTTCAGTCTGTGTTTTAGCGTGAACTGTAAGATGGCCGGGGGGGCAACAGCCGCTGTAAGCCATTTCTGGGGCTTGAAATTTGAGCCAACAGGCCGAACCACTTGCCAGAAAATCGATGACCCTTCAATACATATATATATATATAATTATGCATATATATATATATATATATCATAGATGACCTTGAATATGTACACAATTTCAATTCCAACCCCCCTAACCGCCCCGATTGCGACATCCAGAAATCCCACCACTTTGAAGCCTTGGGAGGCCCTTGGGTATGTACAGGGGAGTCGAATGCCAAGGTTTCGCCCATGAAATGAGTCGCCATTGTTGAAACCATAGCGTTGCTTGGTTTTTTCCTTGGGGAATCGAAACATGTTTTTGGGGGTTTCTGAAGGGTGCCTGAGATGGATGTCGCAACCATCAGGAGTTTATCCCGTGGCCGTTGAGCTCCAAAAACTTCGGGGTGATGAGGTGACATGATATGCTTACACGCTAGCTTATCCACTCCGCATGCCACTATTGCCGAGCTCCCTTGAGCACATGAACGCCAAACTGCGGCGGCCGAGTTCAGGTTGATCTGCCGGAAACTGCTGACAAGGATTTCCTGTGGAATTTCCCTCTGGGTGAATTATAACGACCTCACACGACCAGCCCAACCACCATATTTCAGGCTGGTGAATATTATAATTCACTCAGATTTCCTGCAGGTTTCATAGATCCCAAATCTGCAAAGGCCGGGACCCGGTGAAGCGCTTGGCCCATGGAGAGCGGCCAAGACCTGAATGCAGCCCTCACTCCGGGCACCAGCTTCGAGCAGCTTCAGCGAAATGGCCCGTGGAAATGGACGGGAAAAGACCATCCCAAGACCTGGGCTATTGGCAGAACCCCTCTGCAAAAAGTTGAACCTTTTTGTGGGTTTAACTGCAAACCCTTAATTTCCCAACAAGTTAAAGTCTAAAGATCTAACCCAATAGCCAAGAATAATGGTCTTTATGTTTATCACATGAAGGCGTGGGAACACTTAGTTTCCTCTTCATTTTGAGCTATGTTGGGAAAAGAGGATAATTGCTAGTCTGCCGCATGCAGGGAGCTCGGTTGTGAAGCTACAGGGCATATCGTGTTTCCTGTTTCCGGCTGGCTGGTTTGCTTGTTTAATATGGAGAACCCACCTCCCAGACCAGGGTTGCAGGTTGTTGCACCATGCCATTTTTTCAGGGGTCCCTCTATGACCCTTTTTGGTGGGTTTTCAACATCACCTTTCTGTCCAATTCAGACTGATTTCCATTTGATTTGATGATGTTTAAAGGTGGAATATAGGAGACGTGCCCATACTGACTGTTGGGACCAAGGTTGTGGAAGTTAAAAGTGATCAGACCTCCAGTGAGCCATCTCCTTTTGTAACTTCTGTTTGTTTGTGTGCTTGTTTGTTTGTCCGTCTGTTTGTTTGCCCGGGGGGTTGAGTTTCACTTCAATATCAACCGTCCAAAAAGGGGCACTGAAGGCTTGGGATTTTTGAAATTCGTGGCGACTTCGACTTGGGAAGGACGTGATTCCTTGGGTGTGTCTTTGTTCAAGGAAACCACCAACATGGCAGTGTCCCTTTTGGTGTCCCTGTGAAACCATTAAAACAAGTACCCTCAGAAAAAAAACAGGAAACGCCACCATTTTGTCTTGAACATATTCGTGAGGCTGCTCCTGCTACCACACCTCAAACTCACAACTCCCCAAGCAGACTTGCTGCTATGGCCTATTTTTGTTATCCCCAAGCAGGTGTGTTTCGGGGGGGGGGGTGTTTGTGGGACCCCCTTGTCAGGTTGACATGTGGGTCCGAATGCAGCGTTTTTGCAAAGGCCAATTGAACGACTTGAAACCATCATATGGTAATCCTACGGCGGGTTCAAACATCGCCTTTTGGAAGGGAACCAAACAAGGCCATGGGCGAGTCTTGTCTCTCTTGGGAGTTGGGAACCTTAAAACCTCACTCCACGAAGAAATTCACCTCAATTTCGTAGCCCGCGAAATAATAGGGGGAACTATGGGGAACCCTGATTGTATCCTGGGAGAATTCAAAAGACAGACCAAACATAAGCCGCCCAGTTCAATGTGCACGTGCCCGTTTTGCAGTTGGTACCCTCGGTGGGCTGATTCAAAAGAATACCCAAGGTGAAACCGTCCTTGTTTGCGTGGTTCCCCATTTTCAAGCAGATCTAGGCTTAGGTACGAAACATTCTCAGAAGGGTCAATGAGTGCAATGGGGTATGGCAGCGGCAAATCCGGATGTGGGTGGGTTTTGCCCAGCACCATTTGATTTGTCCCCTTCTTTTTTTGGCACTTCCCATCATCCCAGGTCCCACCTCCTCACTTAGCATGAACTAGATTGCAATTTCGCCTGCTGCATTTTGGCTTGTGACAAAACAACCCAGGGTGAAGGTTCCTGGCACCATTCAGAACAACCGGCTGATAAACCGCATTTGGCAACCTGTTTTGGTTTCAGCCATTTCCGGGGCGCATGTCTGGTAGCCCCAGCAGGCGAACCTCTGCAACCAGAGCCAAGCAACTGCATTAGATTCCTTGTAGGAAGTTCGACATGGAAGACTCCCATTTGGAGGGGTGCCCCCCTTCCGAGACAAAAGCATCTCCACTCATCTTGCTGGTTCTCAGCAGGGAATGAGGCAATGCCCCCTTATAACCATCCCCAAGTGCGTTTCCTTTAACGGAATCCCCTTCCGGTTCATTTCCGCAACGTTGGGTCATTCCCTACCTATCGCACCAGCAAAGTCATGGCTAGCACAGAAGTGATCAGCCTTACCAGTGAGGCAAGATGAGGCCCAATTCGTCTCCGCCCGGGACCCCTTCGCGCGCACTGTTCGCGTCAACTGCCGGACGGTGGCACTGACGCTGGGCGCGGCAATCCTATTGGCGGCCGCGCTGCCTCTTCGCTCCTCGGCACCTGCGGCACCTGCGGTACTTGATTCTCACTTCTCCAAAGCAAAGCTTTTTACTGTTGGATGGGGTCACTGCACTTTTGAGTTGCCCATTTCAAGTGTGTTGAAGTGACTTTAATTCCTGGCTGGGTGCTGCAATATGGTTCCCGTTTTCCCGAAAATGTTCCCGACTCCTTATTTGGCACCCAGATTCCTTTGCCTCTGCCCAAAGGTTGCAGAGGCCGCCGTCTCAGATGCGCCTCCTGAGACGCAAAGCGAGGGCGAAGGCAGCGACTCGCCAGACTTCAGCGGGTGGAGCTGCGGAAATGACCTCGCGGCGGTGGAGGCTCCGCGAATCTACAGGAGACCAATCGTTGCCGGGCTTGGGTGTTGCCCTTTGGCCCCCTGTAAATTTCATTTAATTATTGTCCCCTGTAATTTAGAAGCAAGAAGTTAACTGTTTTGCAGGGCGTCTAAATCTGGGCCAAGCCATCTGGTTGACATGAATCTGTGCACAGTGTGGCGAGCGTTTCTTCCTGCAAATCCAACCTTCTAAGCAAGGTTTTTAAGGGACCCGTGTCAAAACAGTTTTGTGAAGGGGTCAAACAAGAATCGTATCTTCACTTTTTTGGGCTTTGGAGGGGAGAGGCTTCATGAAGCACCTGTTTAGATGAATCCGTTCGGCAAACCGAAGCCATCGACTGTACCGCGGGCTTTTCCGGAGCGCTCTCCGTTCCTTCTGTTCGGTCTGCCAAAACCATTTAATACGTTCTCGGGTAGACGAAATATGAAACCGAATCTGAACTGCATATGTTCTGTGTACCCCTTTCGTAGAGGGCCAAAAGATTGTGAACCATTGCACATTTCACCCTGACGGTTGCAGAGTATTCTTGCAAAGTTCCACAAGGTGTGCTTGCTCCTTGGTCACTGTGAGTGTGTGTGTGTGCGACAGAGACAAATATGATCGGGTTCTTGACATGTACCATATCATTGGAGGAAGTGTCAGCTTGGTTCAACCATTTCCGCAGCCTCTGTTTCCAACTAAACATGGTGGCGACCAAGCATGAATGTTTAGCAGAGCCAGTGTCTGTGTGTGTTGGACAGTGATTCCGCCGAAAGATACGCTTTCGGATCAACAGCTAAATGTTTGAGGACAGCCTCTGATCTTCTGTGTGTTTGTGATGGGATATCCTTACAACAGGGGGCTTAGCCTATCCAACGGGCATAAAGCTCCATTCAGGGTCGACTCCAGGTGACGACTCGTGACTAATTTCTGGCCATGGCTCTCGCCAGGACCTCCAAGACCTGGACGCAGCAAACCTCCCAGGCACATTTTTCCTTTTATGAAGCTGACGCAAGCCGAGCGGAGTTTCCGGTCAGCAGGTCCAAATGGGTGTCGGGAGGGTCCACAACCAGGACACCAACCAAAAAAAAAAGGTGTGTTTGTCTAGCCAGAAATGGAGCTGAACACGTGGAGAAAGGTATCAACAGTGGTACCCTTCCGCAGATGCCATGTTAGTGGGAGGAAGGGTAACTTTCCATACCATGCGGAGGATAAGCACGGAGGTATCGAGCGCCATTACGGAAATGCTCTAGGCAGGGTCCAGGAAACTGGCATTTTTGCTGTATCATTCGGATGTTTCTCAGCTTAAATCAGGGGCTTTGCCTTGTTCCAAGTGGAACTAATTGCCATGCGCGTGAAAAGGTGTGGCTGAGTTGAGTAATGTTAAAGGTCCAGCGCAATGGTATTTGATTGAATCATGCCGTCATCAGAAACGAGTGGTTGCAACATGACCGTCACTTCGCTGGCTGTTCCTGCGCGGTACGCGGTTTGACGCATTCAGCCAAGCGCGACAGCTAGTGGTCTTGGCCAATCCTGGGCTTGCGGCCCCGAGAGCCTGCAGGAGGGCTCTAAAATATTCATAAAGCTCTAAGAGGTTCTGGGCCTCTGGCTAATATTTGAAAGGCTGCATGTTGAAAGCAAAGCTTAGGACACCCTTTAAGATGGTTGGAACTGAAAGTTGCCTACATGAGGTCGTGCTTTGTTGCGTATGTGGGGAGGAGATGACGGTGGGAGAGAATACCTAGATGAGCCATTTGGTAGTAAGATCCTAGCAAGCTTGCAGCTTGCCCATTTGTTGAAGGCTTACTGTCCTCTCGTAAAGGCCTGCATAAGAACAACCCCATGTTCAATGTCCAAGGATTCAGCTACAGGACGTCCAGAAAGGTTGGGTGTTTGCCAATCCCCACTTTGACAAAAGCCTTTTCTTGCTGGTGCTCAGCAGGGCCTGAGGGAATGAGCCGTTTGAACCATCCCTCGTGCCTTTTTTGAGGGGACCAATTCCTGGGTTCATTCCATTTCTCATCCCCTACTTATCGCACCGGGGTTTGAGGGTCTGGGGGTGAGAGGGTTTGAGGGTGTAGTCGTAGTAATAGTAGGTTTGCGCGCATCCTCAATGACTGGGTTGGGGAAGAAACCCATCTCATGTTTTCCCCAACCGCATCCTTGGGCAACTGGTTGCGAATGGACGTAGGTGGTGCGTGTTAAGCTCTGGGGCGGCGGCGGCATGGGCGGTGCTCCAGTGCGCCTCAAGTCCGACGATGACTGCCGGGTCCGGCGATCCCGGCGCTTGCGGCGCGCGGACAAGCGGCGGGCGGACTTGAGCCTCGGCTGGAGAATTCACCAAGGAAGATATTGCGGATAGACAAGCTCCTGCACCAAAGAAATGATGATTCCCCTGTGAATACCAGCAAACAAAGGTTTTCCATGGTTACAAAGTGGTGCAGGGATTTGTCCATCCACAGTAGTTGCAGGATGTGTTGCCAAAAAAAAACTCGAGCTTAATAATGGCATCGCAAGTGCTCCTCTGGGGAAGCGACACTACGGTGCAAGTAAACCAATCAGAGTCAACCACCAAACCATGCCAAATTACAGTAGGTTGTGGGGTTCCCTTGTTCCCCTACTTGCAATGATCCACCGTATAGCTTGGATTTTGTTTGCCTTGAGTTTTTTGTTTGTACGCGGAACAAGTACGACCCTTTTGTGCCTGCCCGGAGCAAGTGGAAAAGGGAAGGACACCGTCGTGCCAGCACGGAGCCCTTTCTTTATCTAGGTGCTAGTAGCCCATGAAGTCTCTGTGCTCCCAACAGGAATCCAACAGTAACATAGAAATTCAGTTGTGTATTTATTTGTCCAGATTCCCTATTGGCCCCCAGATTATGAGTAACCCTCATGTGGCTTCCAGGAACAATCGCGCCAACCAGCTGAACCCCAACAACTGGCGGTATTGGGCCAGCCGCGGAATGCAACCGCCGTGGCGCCGGGCTGGGAACATCTACCAGGCTTGGTCAGCGTGTTTTGTCGGATCTTTTCTGGAATGTTTGTTAATCAAAGGAGTTTAGAAGGAACTTTGACATTGAAGGTAGTTTTGCGCACAGATATGGTGAAGAAAGATTGAATGCATGCGAGAAAACATGCGTGGGAGTGCGGGGGAATAGACAGCTTGAATAAGAGTGACCCTCTGCATCTCCGGCTGAAAGCCACCTCGGTCGCGACACCTATTCGAAAGCAGTCGCGCCGTCCCCCCCCCCTCCCCCCCTCCGTTGCGGGCGCGCGCCCACTGCCTGGAGGATTAGGGGGAAGCATCCAACCACGCCGAACGAATTCGACCCCTTTTTGACCCCAGTACACTCAGAATGCACACTGGGGGTTAGATTCTTCCAGTCGCACTTCACTTGTTTTCCAGCAATCCTGTTTTTTAGAAACTCGTCAAACATCCGAGGGAGCTAAAATAGTGTTTGGAAAGAACGATGGGTGAAATCGTGTTGTTAACACACATTTGAGTGTGTCTATCTTTGATGGGCCCTCGGGGTGGTTTCAAAGGGAAGACAAAGGGCAACCACCTTTGCGCGATGGAGGGCCCCTACTTAGTGACAGCCCATCTAATTAACTCACGTGCTAAGCTCTTGGGCTGTAAGCTTGTTGGAAAACGTTCAGAAAAGCGTTTCAGTGGCAAACAACAAGTGTGGGGCTTTGGAAGTAGGACCGGCAGAGAAAGTGAGTGAGTTGAATTTTGGTTTGAACCTCCAAGGGAGGCAGTGCTGGCCGCGGCACGCGCGGCGGGGCTGCCCTTCCGCTGCAAAACGGACAGGCGCGGGGCCAAAGGAGGGTGTGTGTGTGCAACGTTTGTGTGTTCATTTTAGGGATATTTCTGAAAACACCTGAAAGACCCTTGCAGCCAGGTCCAACTCGTAGGCTCATATTCAGCCCCTTCAGCCCCACCAATTCAACTAAGGGTCTGTGATGTACTTGGAACTCATGTTTGTTCTCTCTCTCTCCCTCTCTCTCCTTTGTTTGGGTGTGTCTCAAAATTGGGTACCCTCAAACACGGTGGTTTCCCTTTGGCTTCCCTTCAAAAACAGCCCAAAACAGCGCAAAAAACGAGGCAAATCGAGAGCCACCCCCTTTCTCGCGAATTTCTCCAGGTGCCCCTTGGCCCCCCCAGCTACGGCCTCCCCCCTGCGCCTCCGCCGCCGGGACCCACGGACTCTTCGGAGCTGCGCGGCCAGCCGCTGCGCTTGGTGCGGCGCGCAGCGCAGAAGGCGCACCGCGCAGCGCGGAAGTGGCTGCCGCGGGAGAGGCGGTGGAAGGTCACGCAGGAGGTGTGCGGCGTTTGCGGGTCGAAGTGCCAACGTCTGATTGTTCTGAACCGGGAGGCGGTGAAACTGAGATATCTTCTGATACAGATTCGAGGGAAGCTTCCAATCATTCCAAACTGCTTTGACACCCCTTTGGTCGCCCTTTGATCCCCCCTGGCTTCCGCAAGTGCGCCATGAATTTTCAAGAGAACACTCAGAGAACACCCCTTTAAACTGCTTGGTGAACAGGAGTTCTCTGACAAGCGTGGGAGTCGCCACAGGACCCCACCACCATCGGCCCCTGTGGGGAGCTGTGGCTCTGTGGCGGGGGCGGGGGCGGTGGCGCCTTCACGGACCGCCTAGTGAACCTCACGGCCGGTCGCGTCTACGAGCTGCAGGCGCGCGCTGCGCGCTGCGCGCAGTTGTCCGGCTCCTTGTTTCAAAGTGAGTTGCATGCCTTGGGGCTTAACCTTCATCCAAAATTCCTTCAACACCAGGGGGACCGCTTTCACCTGCCAAGGTCGGAGGTTTGTTCTGCTCAGCCCGCCCCTCCAGTGGTGCCCAAAGGCGCCCCATTGTTCGGCGGCAACTAGAGGTCTGGGACGCTGCTTGCGAGAATTTGGGATTGAGGATGGATGTAGGATGTTGGTCAAGCCCACGTAGTATGTATATAAGATATATGTGCCGTGGTAAAAAAAAAAAGAGTCAATATCTTAGTTGGGTTGCCCAAGCCAACTAACCCTTACACATGTCAGACATGTCAGTGGCAACGTTCAGCTTGGATTCTGCCTTTCAAGTTTGGACTGCACCGGCTCGAACAGTTTAGCTTCCTTTTGCATATCAATTCACTGGAGGTTCGGGTTGCCTGTTTTTCCCCTAAAACAGCCTCATTTTGCTCACAGCCCCCAATACTTTTTCAAGGGTCAAATGTTGATGTAGATTGGTCCCCCCCCCCACCTATGGTCATAGTCCCCCCCACCGAGATCACATTGTGTGTGTGTGTGTCTTTGTTTGAGGAAACCCTGCTTGCGGTTCTTTCAAAGGCCCCAAACCTTATGGTTTTCCTTTTGGCTTCCCTTTCAAACCACAATCTTGTTGGGGTACCAACTCCTAAAACCACACCCCAACTTCAGAGCCAAACCCATGTATTGCCTACATGGGTGTGGGTCAAAATCAAGCCACCAACCACAGGTTTTAGTCCTTGGTTCCATTTACCAGGGCAAGCCATTTTGGGGTTACCCCATTACCCATGTGCCTACCTGGACACGCCAGGTGGGCCTTGGCGGTTTCCCCGGGGCGCCCCACGGCCTCGCCACGCGTCTCATGGAGCACCTCCCCGGTGGACGGCGTCTGCTGGCAGAGGCCGCTGGGGGCCTGGGGGCCGTAGCCGTGGACGAGGCGCGGGGGGGCGGGGCGCGGGGCGCCGGGGGGCGGGGCGCGGGGCGCAGGGCTCAGCGGACGCTTCAGGTTCGATCCGACGGAGACCCGCGTCCTTTCGGGGAGCCACCTGTTGGCTTCCCCAGAATTAGCTCCCCTTTTTTTTGGTCTTTTTTGGTGTCCCTTTGTTTTCCACTAACCAGGCAGAAAAGCTATTTTTTTGCTGGGGCCCTAGTTCCAGCCAAGTTGGGTGTTTGAAGCAAAGAGAAGCAACATGTTGGGGGGCCACACTCATTTTGACATGGGGAAAACATGTGTTTTGGTGCACCAGAAAAGGAGCAAACCAAGAATGGGAAAATGGAACGTGATGTGAACGGAACATGGCCCAGAGGCTTTCTTGGTACTCTTGGATGGTTTTGGTGTCTTCAAGAAGGGGTTAAAGTACCCCCTTAGAAGGTACTTGGACCCTAGGAAAATGGCAGCAAAAACAAGCGCAGCCCTGCGTTTGGTTTGCAAACGCCGGCGGCGGAAGCAATGCTTGGACACCTGAGAATCACACTGCCAGAGAGCTTTGGCAACCAAACAGTACATGGTTGTTGTTGGGAAACATTTTACATTTTTGCTTATTGAGGTTTAGTGGTTGGAATCCAACCACTTAAGTGCTAAAGTTGGCATTTTGCTCCCCTTCCCACGTCAAGCAAGAGTAACTAGTATTGGCGACTTGTAGACTAGTAGGGGCCATTGAGGACCATTCAGTCGTCCAGGCCTTCCCACTCCACAATGGCTCCTCACTGCGTGAGTTCCTGAACTTTAGTCATAGTCACTTGTTGGCAAGACCATTCTCATTTCAAAGAAACAGTCGTCTGACTCCCTGAGTTTCTGGACAATTTCTTTTTTGCTGTTTTTTGGCCCATCCACTCAGGAAGTGAGTTGGATCTTTTGGCCATCCCACTGACCAGTGAGACACAAAGCACTTTCTCGCAGGAGCGCCTGCTGGCGTTGGGCGGGCTGGGTGCCACAAAAGGCGACTTAAAGGGAGTGGACGGCGAGGCCCGACGCGGCGCCGGGCGTTTGGGGGCTTTGGAGCCTTTATTGGTGGTGTTGTTGTGTTCCTCTGGGGTGGGAGGGGGGTTCTAAATAGACTCAGCTGAATTTTCACTGGCCCCAAATCATCCAAGGTTTAGGGCTGAATGTTGACCACGGAATTTGGTAAGTTCTCGGTAGGGCATCAGTTTTAGTGTTCTGGGAATGAATCAGAATGGGATCCCCGACCAAGCCCCCTAGTTGGGTGGTTCAGTTAGGGGACATTCCAACTCATTTGCTGAGAACCAGTGAGAGCCGGCACACTGGTTGAATTTTGGCCTCTAGGAGATCCAAGGAGCGACTTCCTTTGATATGTCTTGGATAAACCAGATGAAGCAACTTCTGAGAAAAGGGCTTGAAGGGAAAAAGGGAACCTCCAAAATGGGTGTGCCTCAAAATTGAACAGGAGGAGCAAGCCGCAGGCTTTTGTCCATGTTTCCACTTACCAGGGTTCTATTTTCGTACCGGTTTTTTGAGCCACGGCCAAACAAGTGTTTTTTTTTTCTTCAGCCTCTTAAAGAAACAACTCCAAAAGTGAATACTGCCTTGGTGGATGGCCCGCAATGCGAAACGCGCTGTACCAACTCTTTTGGGGAAGTGAGGACATGTGATGTATATGTGATGTTTCGACCACAAAAGGATACCTGGAGTCTCCATGGCCCAAACATGTGACCCCGTTCTTTTCTTCTTTTTTTTAACTCACTCCTCGAGTTCCATTTCGAACTTAAGTCACTCTTTGGGTTTGGTTGCCATTTGAGTGGGAGATAACAAGCTCCTGCCCTAGGATTCCGGCCTCATTTAACTACCATTGTTTAGAATTGTTTACCTACGTAAGGATTGTCGTCATCCAAATTGGGTCAACTATTCTTTGGTTACTTGTTGTGGCCACTCCACTCGGGAACTGAGGTCATGACCCCCATGTTTAAAGGATCAGAAGGAGACGTGGACGCTTCCGCCAGGCCTCCCGGTCTGACCTCCAGGGCTTGCAGACGCAGCGCCTGGTGTTGACCGGGGCTGACCTGACAAAGCGCCAGGCGCGCGAGCGGTCGCGGGCTACGCAGTTCGGTTCTGTTAGATCAGGGGCTACAACATTTGTTGGGATTGTGAGATGTTCAATCCCACTTGTAAGCAAGCTGAGGTCAGAGGAGAGCCTACCACGCTCGCCACTTGGGATTAATTATGAGGTTTCAAATCCCACTTGTAAGCAAGATGAGGTCCCTAGGAGGGTTAGAAAGTTCTGGAAGGCTTGTTACAAGCAAATCGGGGTGGCCAAGTTTGAAAGAGTATCCAAAGCATCCAGTGAGCCACGATCAGAATATGCCTGTGGCTCCCGGAAAGGACCTGGAGAAATTCTGGGCTGGGTTTTCGTTCATCCTGAGTGGAATGCACCAACTCACTCATGATGAAGGTGGCCGGTTGGTGGGGATCCCATATTCAGTTTGGCAAATCAAGTGTCCTTATGCAGCCAGATCTTTCGGCAAGGAACTCCGCAAACGTGTCTTTGTTTGAGGATACCCTTTGTGGGCTTATGTTGAAGGAACACCAAAGGGAATCTCCCCCATGTTTGGGAATCCCCCGATTTTTTCGCCACCCACACCCACATGTTGTTTGCATCCGTGCCTAGCAGGCTCGGGCGACGGCGCCATTCGATGACTTCGCGGCCATTCGGGTGCCCTGCGCTGGTGGCGCAGGCATGGACTCGCTGGAGAGGAGGGCGGGCTTCACGGAGACCCTTCTCGGCATGCCAATCTTGGACCGTCCGAAGAGTGTCAATGTGTGTCAAAATGGGCGTGTTTGAAACTAAGGGAACCCCCCAAATGTTGGGAAAACCGCCTGTTGGTTTTCCCAACACTCCAGAAAGGGCAGCCTCAAGAACCATAGGGCCAAATAGAGGAACTCCTTGAGAGGGGGCGGTGTCCTTTTCTTTGGACACTGCCAACCAAGATGGGTCAACACAAACAAAAGAAGAACACGTTCGGAAATCGGCCTTTGGAGGATCGCATGCTGCACTTTCATGAGCATGTTTCAATTGTTGCAACCTCAATGTGCCATGGCAAGGCAGGCTTCCCAACACAATCACCGACCCATAACGCACATGTTGTTTTTGTTGTTGGGGGGGATTCATGACATTCAACTGGTGCAATGATTTGGTGGGGAACAACATGGACCTGTGCAGGAGTCAAACCCGCCACCACCGCCTGCTCCTCCATCTTTCGAGCCGAGTGAGCACATGCTCGTTTGCTTGCCCTCCGCGGCTGGAGCCTATAACTATCCACCGAAGCTCTTTGCCAAGGGCTCCGAGATGCTTTTGAACCCAAGGTGCGCGGAGATCGCGAAGCTCATTCCTCGCCTTTTCGAGCGGGCGAGGCAGCAGTACATGTCGGGACCGCCGAACATGCGAGTGCGTATTGAAAGCTTTGAAGGCCATCAAGCCCTTGTCAGAGTAGTTGAGTCCGTCGCCACGTTCAAATTCTTGAACGGCCCGCCTCCCGGCTTTTCTCAGAGTTCCTGGTCTTGGCAGCGTTCTCCTGGACTGATTGAACAGAATGGAGAAATGTACTTAAAATTGAACCTCACCGCTGCAGCCACCTGCGTATCCAGCATTCCGAGCCTGAACGGCTCGCAGTGCATCGGGGTCGCCTGCCTGAGATCTAAGCCTGGCGCTCCTTGCCAAGCTTTGCCCTCCTGCACAGCTGGCCTGCAGAGCCATTGCCAGAAAATGGCCCTAACCCAAGGTTTCCCTTTTTGTCCATGGGTCTCCAGATGAACTTGCCTTGTTTCTCCTTTTGCCTTTTTTTGAGTTTCCTTCATTTGCCAGTCAGTTCAGCCAGCAAAAGCTAGCGTTTTGCAGCCGGTCCTCTCATTTGGCCAAGGAGCTTTGTTCTCACCAACTTCAGCCGGAAAGTTGCCCCCATGGCCGCCTCCTTTGTGGGCCCCCGGGGCGGACCCTCGGCCGCCGCCGCACCGGATGGCGTCTTGTTGCTGGGTCAGCACATGGTACTTGTAACATCTTACATCGAATGGTACCCCGCCCCCATGCTAGCATGGAATCCCAGAACTCCTTTGGAAGACTTGGTTCCAGTTACAGTGACCTGCGGAAGCTTCCATGTGCGTTTGAGGAAGTGTAGTGGAAAGCCAGTAGCAGGTAGGTTTCGCGCTTAACATTAAAGAAAGAATCAAAAAGAGCCCCCCAAAAGACACAAGAAGAAGAAAAGTAACCCCCCCTCAAAAAAATGAAAGAAAAGGACCCCCCCTCAAAAACAGAAAGAAAACAACCCCCCCTCCAAAAAAAACAAGACATAAATGCACATACCCCATCCCTCAAAACAAAGAAAAAGACCCCCCCAAACAAAAAGAAAGACAGATAAAGAACCCCGCCCCCTCCCCCCTCAAAAACAAAACGAAACAACAAAAAGAACCCCCCCCCCACAAAAACAAATGAAAGAACGAAAAAGAACCCTCCCCCCAAAAAGGGGGGGAAAACAAGAAAACTAAACCCCGCCAACAAAAAGAACGAAACATAACCTCCCCCCCCTTCCAAGAAAAAGCAAGCCAAAAAAACACATCCCCCTGGACCTTCGTCCTCCTGAAAAAAAAACGTAGTTTCCGCCTTTGACTGGATATTCGGGAAATCGTAGCACTTTTTGCCGCAAAAACCTGAAACTCCTAAAACTCCTAAAAACAGACTATTCCAATGCTCGCGGCCTTTGACAGAGTAAACGAAGGTTTGCAGGGGCAAACGACTGAATGAAGCCCGCAAGTTTGTCAAAACATGCAACGGCATTCCAAAGTTGTGCGGTGCAGAAAAACCGTACCCATTTTGACCGCAAAACGCCCGCAAATTTCCGCAAAACTCCCGCAAATTTCCGCAAAACTCCCGCAAAAACCCGCAAACTCCCGCAAATCAGAAAAAGTCGTAGTTTTGATGATCAAGGCATCCCATGGTGTTCACTGGCACGTTGGCAAGTGCTGCGAGGTGTATTTACTTTGTATGGCCAATGCCCGACTGGAAACGACGCAATTCGTATGTGTTTTTGCCCAAATTGTAGCTAAACCACTGGAATTCGGTAAATCGTAGGGGTCTCCTAAAACACCCAGAAATTTCCCGGAGTTTGAAGGTCCAGGCCCCCTCAAAAAAACAGAAAATGACTCCTCCCCCAAACAAATAAGCAAATAAAATAATAAAGAAACGGACCCCCCCCCCCAAAAAAAAAACTAGAGGACGATTGGCCCGAAAGCATTTTTCCACAGGCGCTCATCCAGCCGCGGAGACACCTTTTTACATCGCTGCGGCGAGCGTGTCTGCGCGCGGCGATGCTCAGTGTGTATGGTCACATGAGAGCTCCATCTCATCATCCTACTTTCCTCTCGAACTGCGCCGCGCGATTTCTCACGAAAGTGGTCTGCGCAAGCTGCATTGTTCCAGGCTGCTGCGCGCAAGTTGCTCTCTGCAAGCTGCTGCACGCTGCTGCACGCAAGTGCTCTGTGCAAGTTGCTCTGCGCAAGTGCTCTGAGCAAGTTGCTCTGCGCAAGTGCTCTGCGCCAGTTGCTCCGCGCAAGCGCTTTGCAAGCGCTTTGCGCATGTGCTCTGTGCAAGTTGGTCTGTGCAAGTTGCTCTGCGCCAGTTGCTCCGTGCAAGCGCTTTGCGCATGTGCTCTGTGCAAGTTGCTCTGCGCAAGTGCTCTGAGCAAGTTGCTCTGCGCAAGTGCTCTGCGCCAGTTGCTCCGTGCAAGCGCTTTGCGCATGTGCTCTGTGCAAGTTGGTCTGTGCAAATTGCTCTGCGCAAGTGCTTTGTGCAATTGCTCTGTGCAAGTTGCTCTGCGCAAGTTGCTCTGCGCAAGTGACTCTGCGCAAGTTGCTCTGCGCAAGTGCTGCCGGAGCTGTGGGAATGTACTTCGCATACTATTTATGTACTTAAAAGTTGCGATTTTCCAGCCGGAGCTGCGGGGGTGTGCTCCGCGTACTACGTTTGTACTTTAAAGTTGCGTGGGAGCACGCTCCGCATACTATGTCTGTACTTAAAAGTTGCGATTTTCCAGCCGGAGCTGCAGGAGTACGGTCCGCGTACTACGTTGCGATTTTCAAGCCGGAGCTGCGAGGGTGTGCTCCGCGTACTACGTTGGCACCTAAAAGTTGCGATTTTCCAGCCTCAGCTGCGGGAGCATGCTCCGCACACTACGTCTGTACTTAAAAGTTACGATTTTCCAGCCGGAGCTGCAGGAGCACGCTCCGCGTACTACGTTTGTACTTAAAGGCTGCGATTTTCAATTCGGAGCTGCCGCGGACCAGGGGGAAATCGAACCCGCGACCGCGGGATTGCGAAAGCAGGCGCGCAAACCACGAGACAACTTCCAAAGGCCGTTTCGCGAGCCAGAATATCGCACGGCGCCACAGCGAGAGCACTTCGACACGCACAATCTCCGCAGAGGGTTCGCCGAGACTAAAACAAATTCGCACGGCGCCACAGCGAGAGCGCTTCGACGCGCACGATCTCCGCAGAGGGTCGCGCGCGCACCGCAGAAATCGTAAAAAGTCCTCAGTTTTTGAACCTCGACCACGCGAATCTCCGCAGAGGGTCGCGCGCGCCCAGCAGAAATCGTAAAAAGTCCTCAGTTTTTGAACCTCGACCACGCGAATCTCCGCAGAGGGTCGCGCGCGGCCAGCAGAAATCGTAAATAGTCCGCAGTTTTTGAACCTCGACCACGCGAATCTTCTCGCAATCCCGAGCGACGATCAAACCTTAGAAACCTAAACTAACTTACATAGCTGCTAGCGCCGAAGCTCTAAGCTCTACCTAACCTTGGCTCTATGTAACTTGGCTCTATGTAACTTGGCTCTATGTAACTTGGCTCTATGTAACTTGGCTCTATGTAACTTGGCTCTATGTAACTTGGCTCTATGTAACTTGGCTCTATGTAACTTGGCTCTATGTAACTTGGCTCTATGTAACTTGGCTCTATGTAACTTGGCTCTATGTAACTTGGCTCTATGTAACTTGGCTCTATGTAACTTGGCTCTATGTAACTTGGCTCTATGTAACTTGGCTCTATGTAACTTGGCTCTACTTGGCTCTACGTAACTTGGCTCTATGTAACTTGGCTCTATGTAACTTGGCTCTATCTATGTATCTTGTATGTAATTGTAAACGCTTCGCGTTGCCCGCCTCGGCCCAGCCTAGTTTGAGGGAAGGGTCAGGAACACCGAAATCCAGTGTTGGGAAGGTCCGAATCCTACTGAAAGCTTGTGACCGCACCAGCTCGCCCGTGCTAGTTCGATGTTCGGAAGCCGTCCTCCTCGGACAGTCTCGGGCAGCTTGGCTGGTCCTTGCTTGCGTGGGTTGTTGGTTGAGCTGGGCCTGAAGCTAGTTTACGGCGGGCTGGGCAGCCGCACTGAGGGGCTGGGCTATGGCTGGGCTGGGCCTGAGGCCAGTTTCAGACACGTCAGACAGGCCTGGCCAGCGGGCAAACTGGGCTGGGCTGGGCTAGACGCTAGTTGAGCCCAGGCTGGTGAGGCCCAGTCTCGGCGCTAGATAGGCTGAGGCCTGCGACTCTCAAACAGGGTGGGCTTGGGTGAGGTTTGCTTAGGCGGGTTGCTGGTTGGGCTGGGCCTGAAGCTAGTCTCAGTTGCTGGCTGCTGGGCAGCCGGACTACGCTGTTGGTTGCGCCTGGAACTTCGGCTGGGCGGGCTGGGCCGAGCTGTGCTTGGGCGGGTCGCTGGATGGGCAAGGCCTGTCTCATACACACTTGGGCCTGAGGCTGGGTAGCGAGTTGCTGGCTGGAGCAGGAGGTCAAGGCCTGGCCAGCCTGGGCTGAGCTGCTTGGGCAGCCGGACTGGGGGGCTGGGGCACGTCAGAAGCTGGCGTAGCTTGAGACCAGTCTCAGACACAGACACGTGAGACTGGTCGTTGGCCTGAGGCCAGTCTCAGACACGTTAGACAAACCTGACCTGGCACGCTGGGCTGAGCCTGCTGTCTCAGCCACGAGGCTGCGAAGCCATGGGTGGGTTGCTGGCTGCCGGGCAGCCGGACTACGCTGCTGGTTGCGCCTGCGGGCTGGGCTGAGCTGTGCTTGGGCGGGATGGGCAAGGCCTGTTTCATACACACTTGGGCCTGAGGCTGGGTGGCAAGTTGCTGGCTGGGCTGGGCCTGAGGCCAGTCGCAGACACGCCAGCAGGTGGGCTGAGGGACTGGGCCTGAGGCTGGTCTCAGGCTGGCGACCAGTCTCAGACTGCGCCGAAGGGGCTGGATGACTTGGGGCCAGACGCGAGCAGGAGGTCAAGGCCTGGCCAGGCTGAGCTGCTTGGGCAGCCGGACTGAGGGGCTGGGGCACGTCAGACAGGCTCAGTAGCTGGCGTAGCTTGAGACCAGTCTCAGACACGTGAGACTGGTCGTTGGCCTCAACCCAGTCTCAGACACGTTAGACAAACCACCTTGGCACGCTGGGCTGAGCCTGGTGGTGGGCTGGGAGCTGGGCCGGCCAAGTGGCATGCCCTAAGATGCGCCGGGGCCTGGGCTGGGCAGGCTGGGCTGAGGTGGGTTGCTGGTTGGGCTGGCCTGAAGCTAGTCTCAGCCACAAATCTAGTCAGCAGGAGGTCATGCTTTTTACGACCAAAATTGACCCATGGAGCTGGACGCCGACGAACCCCGAAAATTTCAAGGCCCGCCGGACAGGATTTTGGGCCAGCCGACATGGGTGTGGGGGTGGGTTGGGGGAGGGGCTCTTTGGAGAAGAGATCTGAGCGCCCTTGGCCCCTTTGGTAACTTGGCTCTATGTAACTTGGCTCTATGTAACTTGGCTCTATGTAACTTGGCTCTATGTAACTTGGCTCTATGTAACTTGGCTCTATGTAACTTGGCTCTATGTAACTTGGCTCTATGTAACTTGGCTCTATGTAACTTGGCTCTATGTAACTTGGCTCTATGTAACTTGGCTCTATGTAACTTGGCTCTATGTAACTTGGCTCTATGTAACTTGGCTCTATGTAACTTGGCTCTATGTAACTTGGCTCTATGTAACTTGGCTCTGTATGTAACTTGGCTCTATGTAACTTGGCTCTATGTAACTTGGCTCTATGTAACTTGGCTCTATGTAACTTGGCTCTATGTAACTTGGCTCTATGTAACTTGGCTCTATGTAACTTGGCTCTATGTAACTTGGCTCTATGTAACTTGGCTCTATGTAACTTGGCTCTATGTAACTTGGCTCTATGTAACTTGGCTCTATGTAACTTGGCTCTATGTAACTTGGCTCTATGTAACTTGGCTCTATGTAACTTGGCTCTATGTAACTTGGCTCTATGTAACTTGGCTCTATGTAACTTGGCTCTATGTAACTTGTCCAAGGGCTCCGCACGGAAGAACCCTTCGCGATGCTTTCGGGAAAAACAAACAAACAAACACATACATAATAATAATAATAATAATAATAATAATAACAATAGTAATAATAATAATAATAACAATAATAATAATTACTGTTATGAAAAAAAACGACCCCCCACGAAAAAAAAAAAAAAACGAGAAAGGAAAAAGAGCCCCCCCACCCCCCACCCTCCCAACCAACAAAAGAAGAGAACAAACCACCCCCCGGAGAAAAAAAAGGAAGAACGAAACAGACCACCCCCCCCTCAAAAAGAAAGGAAAACGGATCCCCCCCGCACAAAAAGAAGAAGAAGGAAACAGACCCCCTTCTCAAAAAAAAAGAACACAAAAGACCCCCCCCCCCCCCTCAAAAAAAAGAAAGAAAGAAGAGTGACCCCCCCCTCAAAACCCCTCAAAAAAGAAAAAGAACCCCCCCTCCCTCAGACAAAAAAGAAAAAGGACAAAATAATAAATAAATAACAAAACACCCCCCTCAAGGAGAAAGAAAAGAACCCCCCCCTCCCAAAAAACAGAGAAAACATTAAAACATAACAAGAACAACAGGAGCTCCATGGTTGCACTCCATGGTTGCACTTCCCAGGTTCCCCGGCCACGGCGGCGACGGCAGCTGCCCGGAGCTCCTGCCTTCCGCGGAGCCTTTGGAGCCGCAGCTGCCGCTCAGCGGGGCGCTGCCGCGCCGCGTGGCGCCGCTCAACGGGGAGCCGGGGCTGGCGGCAGTCTACGCCTGCGCGGAGCAGAGGTGAAGGGAGCAGAGGTTTGCTCCTTGATTGGCTCCCAGTTGCCCAGTGGCGCCCGTTTTGTGTTCAAAGGGTTCCCCACAAAATCAATGCCCTTTTTATTTCCATGGCCACTAGGCATCTGGGGATTAGTTTGGATAGAAATCGATGTCCCAATGTACATGGGTGACCCATTTGCTCAAAAGCTGCACCTGTGTGAAGGGCTGCACCTTTGAATTGGTTGGACCCAAGACCGCGGTGGAAAATAAAGCTCAGTGTAAAACTGGCTAGTTGAAAAACATGTACAAAGAGTTGACCTCCCAGTGCAGAAGCTTGACTTCCATACATACCCTCCCGCACTGTTTGGTTGAAGATCAAGTGTAGACAGGCGTGCCTTGAAAGCCCTCCCCAGGTTCCGCATTGGAGGTGCTTTTGCCCTCAGGTTGCCATGGGACCTGACTGGGGACCCGTTTCCTCAAATGGGTGAGAGGGAAGCCCCGCGTATGATGGCTGCGGCTGCAACATAGACTCTAGGTGTCCGTGGCGCGGTGCCCCCTTCACCTGTTTGGGACAAGGGCCCAAAGGTGTATAACCCTCCAACTTGATGTCTTCAAAGGAATCGGCCCACATGGCAACCTCTGAACCAGGCGGCGCTGGGGGGAAAAAGCGTGAGCGCGGGTTAGGGAGTTGAAGGGAGGGCGTGATCCTATTTCGGTTGCTGCATTGCCGTGAGTGGAGAAAACGTACACGTGAGTGTGTCTTGCCAATTGCAAAAGGGAGCCCGCCGAAAATGAGGAATTGTTTGGGCAATTGTCTGGCAAGGGACCTTTTGGACCCTTTTGTAAGCCTCTTAGAGCCTTCCCACATGAGAGGCCTCCGTTTGCGGGGTGTAAACATCTCTGATACGGAAAAGGAGAATCGTGGCCTGAACGTCCGAGCATATTACGTTGATTACATGAATTAACCTCATGGATTACTAGGCCGGTGCTTCGCAAAACTGAACCATCCCACTTAACTGGGATACCCCCCCATGAATCAAACATGGCTGTGGGTCAAAACCAATAGTATGGTTTTGGGGTAGGTGCACCACCCATTGTTGTCTATTTTAGTTGGGATTGGGAGGTTCACCTGGGGTACGGGGTTTTGACCCACAGCCACATGGATGTATTAGTCCTACCTTTGTAGAAGTGCACCTGTGCGACGCTCTTGCACCAAGCCATGCTGGGAGGCTGCCGGAAACTCTGGAGGAAGTTGGCCGTGGTAAGTCGCTTTTGTTTCTGCCGCAGACCTCCAGTCCTTTTGGAGTGCATGGTCCTTTAATCCAATTCGGACCAACGAGGAGCACATGTTCCTTTTCATCAAAAAGGAGTGCTTTAGACTTCAGAGCGCATGTTCCTTTGCAGTGCATGCTTCCCAAAGAGCGTCCTTCGCCAATCTGGGAGTCGGGTTGCGGAGGCCAGGCTGCACGTGGACCAGTGGCATGGGAACTTCTGGATGCATTTGGTCTCCGGCCCCGCGCCCAAGGTGCTTGCGACCGTTGGGCACTCATGGTTGTTGGAAAACTGTTTTGTCATTTTCGCTTATTGTGGTTTAGTGGGAAATCCCCACTTAACTGCTAAGATTTAAATTGTTGCTCCCCTTCCAACGTCAAGCAAGCACTGTAAGATCACCAAATCACAAGGGCAGAGGCTTCGGGAATCGAATCCTGGAGAGTTGCCTGGTGCTCCTGCCGTTTTTTGTTTTGTTTTTCTTATTATTATTTTCAGGGGGCCAATTTTTTGGCCCACTGTTGCACAAGAAAACTCTTCCCTTGCACCTGCTGGTGCGTGACGTTTCAATTTTATCTAGAATGTGCAATTGTCCCTTTGCTACCTGCGCTTTTGCGGGCCCTCATGACTGCACCCATCGCCTTCGTGTCTGCGTGCTTCGTGGCTCGCGGTAAAGTCTTAGGCAGCTGCGTGCCTCACACAGTTTTGCACGGCATGTGCCAAGCAGCAGCAAGCACGCAGTAGCCGACCTTGACATGTTTGAAGCTTGGATGTAGGGCGTCCTGAGGCTTACCCTGTATCTTAACATCTCTCCACAGGGCGCTCACTTTCGGTGTGGTTTGAAGGAATGCAAGCAGCCACCCATGTTCAAGCCACACCCAGCTTGCAAGTGCAGGACAGAATGTCAATACACAGAATGAGTGAGACTTGCCCTTTTGCTCAGACCAAAAACCAACTCCTCGGTCTGGGGCTACCCATCGACCACGTTTTTCTCAATCCGCGGAGGCAGAGAGCCCCCCAGCTTGCCACGTCCCTTGGGGCGTCCGATGCCATGCCCCATGACCCGCGCAAGCGGAAGCTCGAAAAGCGCGAAGGCGCTGCGGAAAACGGGGGACGGGGGGTCGGTGGAGTGTTGGGGGGGAGGTGGGGGAGCGGTAGAAGTGGAGTTGCACGCTTAAACAAAAGGCACGGACGCTGGGGTTGTTTGCGGGGGCGGGCGCACATGCACAGGGGTATCGCAGATTATGTGTCCTTCTCTTTTGCTTGAGGGGTAATTTCAAGTTTCCATCATTGCTTGAATACTTGCGAGCAAATCTCGACTGACCTGAACGGACAATGTGGTTTTCTCATGTTGGCTACGAGGTTTTGCCAAGGGCCCAGGGCCGATCACCTTTGTTCCAGGTGCTTGGGGCAACTGAGAAGAGGGAAAGCGAAAACGGTATCAATCAGATGCCTACGGGCTTTTTCAGCAATGTTACAGTAAAGTCCCTTTTGGGGGAACCCGGTGTGCCACAGCCGCAATTACGTCTTCTTTCCTGGCTTGTATGTGCCCCAAAACATGTGCTTGTTTTAGCGTTATATATGTACGTATAGGTTGGGCACTCCCCCATTCAAAGGGAGTATGATTGGGGCATGTCCCGTGCATTTCATGTTGCCTTGACCTTGACAAGAGGAATGTTTTGTGAACATGGAGTCTGCAGATGGACAACCCCTGCATCAGTTGGGAAGACTGGGATGATCAGCCACCCACTGCGAAGCGGATGGTGCTGCACGGTCTTTTAACTTCAGGCCCATGACCCCCAGACACTGCCAAATTATGCCCAAATTCTGCCTACCGAATGTTGCTCTGAGAGGCTACATTTGAAGGTTAAGATGACCAACATGGAGTGGGATCTGTCGCAGCCTTTCAACGAAGCGGTGTGCAGGCGTCAAGGAAGCCACTGGTTGGAAGCGGGGGGCCGAGACCCGTGGGGCCACAAAAAGCAGCGCCCCTGCCAAGGGAACTCATCTACTGGCAGAGGTGATGCTTATGATCACCGAAGCGGGACACGAAGGGACCCCCTACAAAGGCAGAAGGGGCAAGAAGATCAAACACTTGTTGTGGGACACTCATATGCTCTTGTGGGAACACTGGTTGTGCTATTGTTTGGATGGTTGCATTAGACAAAGTCTCCAAGGTGAAGAACGTAGTTTTGACCCCTCGAAGGCAAATTGGCTCCAATTTGGCACTCTTGCGAATCACATGTGTTTGTAGCTTACGGCCTTCCGGGCGTATGATATACTACAGCTCTTGTCCGTACTGATTGGCCGAAGGTTATCCTGTTGAACTGGACTAGAGAGTGATTCCATCGTTCTCTTTGAAGAAAAAACGGTCTTCTTTAATTTTTGAGCGGTGTTCTGGAAAGAAGGCTCGCTGGAAAGCACAGGGAAGTGAGCCCTATTCTATACACACATATAGTATGTATTATATATATATATATATATGTCTGTTTGGGATGATTGGGTGTTAGCGGTGAAGGGAAGCACTTTACAAGGGGTGAAACTCTTCTGGGTCCCCCAGTAGTGCCCTTTTAAAAAGAGGGTTTCGCTACTAAAATAGACAAGGGTACCCTTCTTCTAGCCTCTCTACTGGAGGACCAGCCTTTGAACAGTGTTATAACCCTCTTGTTTCGATTGGAAACGCCCTCGGCGAAGTGAAACGCTGCGCCTAGATTCTCTGGTGTCGACCCCGATTTAAGTAGAACCTTCTAGAGTGTTCCCCAGTGATCCGGATTTCCGTCAACATGGGACACCCCCCACTTATTAACCACACTTGGGTTTGCTCATCCTGGGCTCCGTTTAGAGCGCAACTTGTGGCGGGCTCATCAGTCAGGGGAAAACGAGCTTGGGCCAGATGAAGGTTCTTCGCGGTGATTTTTGTTTACGGTTGCTGAATCGTTGCGATTCCCCAAACTGGTTTTAAGCTTTCTGGTAGTTCCCTCGTTTTCAGCAACCTTAACAGGAGGCCTTTCATTTGATAATCCACCCAGACGTTTGTTCTGCAAGTTCCGGGGGGGTTCGCCTTTTTTGGAGGGGGGAGGGTTCAAAGGGCCCAGCGTGTTGGTTCCAATTTCCTGCTGGGCCACTTCTAGTGCTTGCCAAGTTTCCCTTTTAAGCACAGGCGGTGTTTCAAGAGGGCCTTCGGTTTTACAATCCACCCAGACAGAGGTTCTTTTAATTTCTTGGGGGTGCCCTTTGTTTTCAAAGTGGCAAGGATCATTTCTTTGTTTCCGCGCTGCCCAAACTGTCATGGGCACCTTTTGGCACGGCTTCGGCTTGATTTCTTCCCCCTCGGAGTGCCTTGCGTTGGCCAAGGAAGCCGAAGAAATGGTACAAAGCAGACAGCGCCGAGGCTCGCAGACTCCTTGGGGCCTGGCGTGGCTTCTGTGTGCGAAAACTTGGCTGATCCCTCAGAGGGGTCAACGTACTTGGATATCCGAATTATATTAAGATGGGATTCCATCTTGCTTGTTTTTTGTGTTTTATAGAAAGATTGGTCGAAGCAGATTATTACAAGTTGTTTGGAGCCTAAGTTTTGGTGTGCTTCTCCACTGAAAAAGTCTACCAAAGGGGCGGCATTGGTCTGGCAAGGCCGATATTAAAAAGAAAGCAACGCCCAAGACGAACGGGATACCTCCACAGCTTGGTGATTTTCAGGCCCCACTTGGCAATGGATCACGGCAACTCCGAAAAACCCGTCCGAGTAGTCCGAGAGTCCGAGCAGCGGTTTGGGCGGATCAGCGGCCGCTTTCAACGGACCCAGTCCGCAGGTTCCCCCATTGGAGTTTTTGGCGGGTACCTGTTGGTTGTAGGTCTTAAAAGGAAGCCAAGACGAGCACCACTTTGGGGGTCCCCGAAGACACCCATGTCATGTGTCCACAAGTGTTGCACGTAACCTTGTTCGTGCTGCGTGCCGTTGTCTGTTTTCAACTCGAGCTTTTGGCGAGAGTGCTTGTTGATGGCTTGCTTGCCCTTGATGCATGCATTTTTTACTTTAGTTGCTTTGCGAGCTTGTCTAGGTGCTATATGCTGCTGCTCGTGGCGTCTTGACTCTCTCATCACATTGGCCACCACGACCCAGTTGCTCAGTGGCGCCCTTGTTCCTTTCTTTTGGGGAAGGGTTCCCCGTTAAACTCAACCAGCCAAACAGGGATGCTCGTTTTCGCCATGCAAATCCACTGGGCATCTGAGATTAGATGGGAGACAGCCCTGGTTAGATTTGGAAGCCATACTCGTTTTGCGACACACCTGTTCGAGCCCAGCCAGGAGTGGCGAAGGAAAGAGCTGGAGTTTGGGCCTCAGCACCAAAAACCGCGCGAGGGAACAGGCCGGAGGATCGGGCGTGGGTACAGAAGGTTAGGGTAAACCAGCTACAAAATTGGGTGTGTAAGACATACCTAAGTCATGTTGCTAACCAACAAAGGGAAACCCAAACGGTAAACCAGGGAAGCAAACGAAACAGAAAAGCAGGAATTCAAATCGGAAGCAAAAAGCCAAAGCCATTGAAAGGTTACCAACTCAGGGAAATCCAACGAATCCAGCTCGAAGAGCGAGGGCAACCCTACCCGAAGGGTATACCGCTGACATGTTCACAGCGGTTGCTTCTTTGAACTCTACGTTGGGGCCGTTTTTTGGGTATGTCAAACAGGCAATGGGGAATGAACCTCGTTCCGTATTGCAACCATTTGTTCTTTGACCGGCAGCCGTATCAGGTCTCAAAGGTTTGCAGCCTTTGAAAGCGTTGATAGGGATAGCTGGGATTGGCATTGAAAATGTCAGAGGCGAAATTATTGGAGACGTTAAAAACGGGCTGCTGCGAAAGAAGTCTGCACTTCTATGTGCGGCGCGGAGATTAGAAGTTTTGTCTTGAACACAAAATCATGGAATAGAAAGGATCCCACTGCTCGTTGGTATTTACATGGAAATCGGACCATTCCGGAGCTCCCCAGGCGGCGGATTTTGCTCCTCAAGAATAGGTGTTGTTTGTTGTCGTTCTTCATGTTGTGTCTTTGCGTGTTTTAAATTTGTTTTCAATCGTGGATTTCTCCAAGGCTTGGCCCGGCCCTGCCAAATTGGACTTGCCTTTAGCGTCATTTTGCACATGACGCGTCGCGTGGTATTCCCGACCCTTGGTGTCCAAGTTAATATCGCCACTCTCCTTTCGGATATCCGAAGACTTTTACAGTCCTGCGTGGGCGAACCATTGACATTTCGCCAGTTGGATATTGCTGGTTTTTGTAACCAAGCTGAGCATTCGCACATTCTATGCCTTTTGCTTTCCCTTTAAGCCCACCACAAAAAGGCTACCCTCGAAAAAAAGACACATCCATGGTATTGTAATGGCTGTGTACTCCATGAAGCTGGGACCTCCCACATCCCCAAGCCCTCACGCGCCCCGCAAGAGGAGTCTGGGTTGGCTGTTGCTAGGGTTGTCCAAATCTGGTCGCCTGTGGATGGTTGCGACATTTGCGTCTTGCACCACGAAACGAAGTCATGGGAATCCATTTCGCCCCACTAGGACCTAAGCAACCATGGGAAACCATCGTTGGTTGGTATGAAACGTTGGGGAGCCATCATTCCGGAAATTGTCAGGTGGTGCGGAATGGATTTCGCAACCATCCACAGTACCATGTAGCACTCAAACTGTAGTAGCCACAATCAAAACCCGGTTAGTGAAGCTTATGGGACAACCCGAGCCAGAAATCGGTGCGGGTATCCAAAGGCATTTTTCCAGGGTCCTTCAAAACATATGCAGTTCTGTGGGGACCCATTAGCAAATTGCAACGAGCAACTCCAGTGACCTCTGTCAGTACCATATGAGTCACAAATAAAACCGGGGCAATTGGAGGGAGCCGCCCCAGCCAGATATGCATGGGGCGGCCGCCCTCCTCTTTCTTTACATGGCTTTGGGTAGGCTATTTTGGTACCAGGTTTTATTTCTGACTTAGGTGCTGGTATGGATGTGTGTGTGGACTCCCTAAAATGGGCGGGGTTTGGTTTCCCTTTAAAACCACCCAAAACGGGGGGTACCTTCTCCAACAAACACCAAAGACAAACCCATATTTCTAAGCCACACCACCCCATTCTGAAGAGCTAAGCCAATTATCCCCCAAAATGGATGCAACAACAATTGCCGTCGAAGCAGTCCACTCAAGCAAGGCTAAAACTCAACTGTTCCCATTCTCTCCCTTTGCCGACTCCCAGCAGCCCACCAGGCATCTCCCAAGCAGGGGCGGTCAGCCTTGCCCTTCTTGTTTTGCCCACATCCATGTCATGAATCATTGCCAAGGCGACACTGACAAACATAAAGCCCGTGGCTTCACGGCAAGCATTGAAGCACCCTCCTGATGGCACCGCGGGCCCCTCAGCAGCCAACCCACCAAAGTGGTGCCCGCGATCCAATTCTCCACAAGCTTCCAATCCACTTCCTCATTCTTTCAATGGGGACCCACGCAGCAGCCCACGCAGCAGTTGTCATCACTTTCGGGAGGAAAGACCGGAAATCCTAGAAAATTGGATGCTTGGAAAGAATGGGTTTTAACCGAAAATATGACCTCATACAATACTTCCCCATTCTTTCCGGTTTTCCAATTTTCACCCAAAACAGATGCAAAAGCGAAAAAACATAAACAGGGACACACTGATCTTTGATCGAAAGAACGATGCAGGGGGACAGAATGATGGGGTGGGGAAAGAAGGGAAATAATGATGGTTGTTGGGAAAGAACGATGGTTGGGGAAAGAACGATGGTTGGGAAAAGAACGATGGCCCTGGGGAAAGAACGATGGTTGTAGGGAAAGAACAATGCCCCGGAAAACAGAACGCTGCCAGTAAGATCGATGGCCTGCAGCGGCATGACTTTGGCAGGTCAGGGGAAGGGGTTGTCTAGTCTATTGGCCCTACCCCTAGTCCGCGGGACAACTTTCTGCATGCGTCAGTGCTCGCTGCAGAAAAAATCAATAACTGAGCCGAAACCGGCTGGAAAGACCGATCGTTGCACTGAGTGCGCGTGTGACGAAAGAATGGGGAATCAACCCTTAGAATATTGACTCAGTCTCCGCGGTGTTTCTCAAAATTGGGGACCCATCCAGGTAGGTGGTTTCCTTGTGGTGTCCTTCACAAACCCATCCAACAACGGGGTCTCCTATGTTTACAGACACGCCCGTACTGTGGATGGACAACATCCTGCAACCACCTAAGCAACCCTCAAGTGATGATTCCCCCATAAACACCGACCAACAATGGTCTCCCATGGTTTCTTTGTGGTGTACAAAACTGATTTTGTCCATGCACCGCATTGAGCGCAATAATTCTGCACCGGATGTCGCCTGAACTGTGCATGAGGCGCCTGAACTGTACCAAGTACCACTACCTGAAGTTTGTGGAGCGCCAGAAGATTGCCGGAGCCTCAAAATGTTCGGAGACTTGTCGTTTGGAAAACACCCTTTCTAGGGTTTAGTGCTTGGGGTCTCCGAAAATGATTTTCATTTTAGGGCCGGGTAGGCTCAAGATGAGGCGGAATCCGTTTATACGTGTTTGTTGTGGCAAAGGGGATGATGTTGGGCACACAGCAAGTCGCCCCCAGGAAACATGGGGTTACTCAGCAACTCCGCGTGTCCGCTGGTAACACATTCAATGTTGACCGTGGCTCAAGCCAACGGGACCAAAAGGGTTCGAAGAATGTCCAAAGGTGCTCAGACCACGGTTGGTGCAATGGATTTCACCCTTGTCCTTCTTTGTTTGGTATTTCTGTGCACCCAGCGTGGGCTTCCAAGCCAGAATCAGCATCAAGCGGGTCGGGCTGGGTTCGTTCAGCCCGGATGACTAAGCCAGGTATCTTCAAAACGTTTTTCTTCTTCTTCTATTTTCTGGGAAATCTCCAGAATCCCAGTGGCACCCTTATCTCTATTGCTTCAGGAAGGGTGTTCTGTTAAAATCTAGCCAACACTAATTGGGTGCCTGCCTCTTTTTTGATTAAGATCTAGCCAACATACCATAGTTTGTTTTTCTTCGGACCGTGCCTTTTTTTGTAACCTTGCAAGTGTTTCTCTTTGTTTGCTGGAATTCGCCGATCTGGGACTTTTGTAGGGGTTCCTCAGTTCAGCTTGGTTAAGTGTAATTAGTCAGGAGAGAACTTGCCAAAAACCCTCGGGGAACCCGTGCTGACCAGATACTCTCGGACAACCTTCTGAAAAGACCTGGGATAAACGTGCCATGTGGTGCGAAGTGGATTCTAGGGGACCTCAACATTTCCGTTTTTTTTTGGGGGGGTTCGCGTCAAAGCTGCCCAACAAAGACACCCTCAAAATCACTGTCACACACCCATATTTTGGTCGTGCGTATTAGGTGTACGAGGGTATGATTAGAGATTTCGGTGATTTTTGTTTCAAGATGTTGGGAGCCTTGCTCAATCGCCAGGAGAGGCGTATGAAGAGCTGCAAGCGGCAGCTGGAGCAAGCGTGTCAGAAGGGCCAAGAGGTCCGATGAACGAGTCAACTGGGGTCGTGTTGGTGAATGAAACCTGAGGCAAATATGGCTCGTTTTGTTTCAGGCTACCCCGGTTCAAATTCAAACGACAAGGAAACCAACCATTTTGGGAGGTCCCCTATGTTCAGACTCACCCATATCACCCATATGGGAAAGACTTTGATAGAAACCATTGTTTGTTGGCATTTACAGGGGAATCATCATTCCAGGTTGTCTTAGCGGTGCATCCACAGTATGGGGAACACTTACTTGTTGTTTCAACATTGTTCAGCCGACTACAGGTGAAACGACGGAACGCACATGCAATGCAGTAGCACGGCCCGACTCTAATGATCTCAAAATTCAACATCATCGGTATTGGAGACTCAACGTTGAGTACACACGGAGGAACAAAGCATTTACAAATCAGTGCAATTTCTTTAGCTGCCTTTTGTTGTTTTTTGTTGGCAGCTCTAGTGACTTGTGGTTTTGGTGGCTTTTTGCGGGCGAGCTGGCTTGTCCGGGCTTCTCTCGGCTTTTGAAGTGTTGCGGCCGCAGCAGCAACATCAAGACTGAGCTAAACTCACCCTGTACCGCCTCCATCCTGTTGAATCCTCAACCAATCTCCGAGCCCACGTTATTCCCTACCTAAGCTGATCTCAAGCCCTAAATCCACCCTAGCCCCAACCACCAAACTCTCCTAAACCCCAAGCAAACCAACCCTGAACCCCATATTCATCTCAGCTGAAATGCATCCAAAACCCATTTTACACCCGTCCGACTTCCAGCCTAAAGCCGCCCTCAGCCCCCGGGGATTTGCTTTGGATTTGCTTTCCGAAGCCCAAGAAAAACAGCTTGGCCCGTTTCCTTTTCGAGGATAAGATTGACGTTCCACGAGTCTAGCCGTAGCCTTCCCAGTCTTGTCAGGGACCCGTTTCGGGAAATGGCCAAAGCCCCGAGAAACCTGTATTCTGTGGGGAAGGATTTACAAATTGGAAAAGGAATCAAGCCAAAGAACAAAGACACCCCCCTGAAGAGAATTGGGAAACCCGCACAAGGCACCCTTCACTTACACCCCAACCCCCAACCCCCCAACCCCCCAACCCCCCAACCCCCCTCAACCCCTCAACACCCCAACCCCCCAACCCCCCAACCCCCCAACCCCCCAACCCCCCAACCCCCCAACCCCCCAACCCCCCAACCCCCCCAACCCCCCCAACCCCCCAACCCCCCTCAACCCCTCAACCCCTCAACCCCCCAACCCCCCAACCCCCCAACCCCCCAACCCCCCAACCCCCCAACCCCCAACCCCCCAACCCCCCAACCCCCCAACCCCCAACCCCCCAACCCCCCAACCCCCCAACCCCCCAACCCCCCAACCCCCCAACCCCCCAACCCCCCAACCCCCCAACCCCCCAACCCCCCAACCCCCCAACCCCCCAACCCCCCAACCCCCCAACCCCCCAACCCCCCAACCCCCCAACCCCCCAACCCTCCTCAACCCCACCCCCCAACCCCAACCCCCCCCCCAACCCCCCAACCCCACCACCCCCTACCATTTTTCCAGTCAAGCGAAGCTGTTTTGTTCAGGCGGAGGCGGAGGCTTTGAGGGTCCAGCTCCGGACCCACCTGGCGGACCACGAGTGCGCCACCCAACACTGCGATGTCCGCGTCGAGCTCTGAAGCGGAATTGTACGTGGGTAAAACCACTTACTTCTAGTGCCGGGAATTTAACAGGAACAGCTATCCGTTCCTGGGAGATCCTGGGAGGTTTTTTTATTGTTGTGGTCGATTTTCGAAACATAGATGGCGATTCCTGGTTTACCTGGTGGTTTAATCATCTGCCAGGGCCATCTATTTGCCCCAAAAGGACACCTATGGTGCTACCTTCCATTTCCATTCTTTAGAAAACCTCCGGAAACCCAGGGAACACGAATCCGGTTTTTGAAAAGAACGATGGTTGAACAGAATGGGGAATTCACCCTTGGATTACTGGGCTATTGCCCCAAAAATAGAGTGGCTGGACAAAATCCTGCACCGCTTTGAAGCCATGCGGAAACCATTGTTTGTTGGTATTTGCAAGATAATCATCATTCCAAGGGTTCTTAGTGGTGCAGGAATTGTCCATCCACAGTATGGGGTGAAAACCCATGTTTGTGCGTCCACTTAATGTTGACCGCATATGATTCAACCAGCCAGTTTATAAATAGAGGGGTTGTTTTTGCCCTTCCAAAAGTGGTCTGGTTCCCCACAACACAAACCCCCAACTAATAAACTGGGGTTGTTGGCCAATCCACTTAACATATGTGAGTTGTAATAGTCAACAGCTTACTAATGGATCTATTTCCCTCCTACAGCAAGCCCGAAGCTGCCATGTGGCCCACACAAGGGCAAGCCGTGTCATCCAGAGAATTGTTTGTTGGACTTTGGAAGCAAGGAGCTTTCGTTGGGGAAGAGCCCCGTTGTCCACTTCCATGAATGTTGGACGGAGGGTAGACCTCTTGGAAGCTAACTGCTCGTCCATTAAGCCTGGAAAAAGTGATCGACCTTCTCGTGGCTTGCAGTAACCCTGTCAAGTGCAGAATCAGGATTTTGGGAATCAGGAAGGCCCCTTTCAGCCCACTGGTATCACAGAAGTGGCGAACGTGGCTGCAGGCAATTCCTGAAACCATGATCTGGCCTGAGGTAGTCGTCAATGTGGCAGGCTGTTTTGTTTTTTTGTGTTTGTTTCACCGCCGGGTTTTGAGCCACAGCAAGTCAGCAGGCGTTTTTCCCTTCCGCAGGCGTGTGGCTGAAGTCTCCCTTTTGTGAACTTTGACTTGATCCGATGGGCTGCAGCACGAGTACCGTTGCAGAGCATGCTGACACACTGCGGGAGGTTCCCCCCAACGGTGTGTCCAGTGTGACCCTGCAGGACGACTCCCAAAAAGGGCACTGGAGGAAAATGATTTTCCAACCGTCACACTGCGTTCTGATTCTGGGAGGAAGTGCAGTGGTTCGCACGAGGTGTGTCCCAAAATAGCGACCGACCAAATGGAGGACTTCCCGTCTGTTTCCCTTTCAAACCAAGGTGAAAACAGTGCCCTCAAAAACACAAACATACACCCAGACACACACACACACAGACACACATAGAACAAGACGGAGAACCACAGACACAGAAAAAACAGGCACAAACACACAGCAGACACACAGACTGACAGACAGACAGGCAGGCAGGCAGGCAGGCAGGCAGGCAGGCAGGCAGGAAGACAGACAGACAGCCAGCCAGACGGACAGACACACAGACACACAAACACAGAGACATACACAGAGACACAGACACACAGACACACAGACACACGGACACACAGACACACAGACACACAGACATACACAGAGACACAGACACACAGACACACAGACATACAGACACACAGACACAAAGACACACGACACACAGACACAGACACAGACACGCACACACACACACACACACAGACACGGAGACCCACAGACAGACAGGCAGGCAGGCAGGCAGGCAGGCAGGCAGGCAGGCAGGCAGGCAGGCAGGCAGGCAGGCAGGCAGGCAGACAGACAGACAGACAGACAGACAGACAGACGCACACGCACACGCACACGCACAGATGTTGGGGTTGAATCACCCTCAGGATGAAGCTGGCTTGGTGCGTAAGCATGGCTCCGTGAGATACCTGGAGCCGCAGGCGGAACGCCAATTCGGGGTTCCCTGATAGACACATGTTCACTCCCTCAAACTGTTTGCACACATTCATAAATGTCCTTGTTGGTTTAGTTTCTTTGGGAATCGATGGCGCTGGTTGTTTTTTGCCATTTGTTGTTCCTAAAGGACACCTATGCACACAGTATTATGTCGTGATTGTAACGGAAATTGGTTTTGGAGTACGTATTCCACATGCCCACGTCCAAGTTTCACATCGGCTCGTCGTGATAGCAGTTGGTGCAGATTTGTCCCTTAAGGTTTTAGTCCCTTGGTAGTTTTTTTTGTCAAGCGATGTTTGAAGAGATGTGTAGTGTTCAACTTATTTTGTGAGCCTTGCTTAATCACTGCTATTTGGGCATCCTCTTGATATCCCTTTCGGACCTTCTCGAGTTGCGCTCGCAACTGAAACCTAGCAGAACGCTTCGGACAGAGACAAATCAGAGAGAGAGGGAGGGAGAGAGACGGACAGCGATGGACAGAGACGGACAGAGACAAACAGAGACATACAGAGAGAGAGAGAGAGATAGAGAGAGATAGAGAGAGAGAGAGATAGCGAGATAGCGAGATAGCGAGAGAGAGCGACGGACAGAGACGGAGTGACAAAGAGACAGACACAAGACAAACGGAGAGAGACATAGACAGAGACAGACAGAGACTGAGACGGACAAAAACAAACAGACAGACAGAGACGGACAGCGACGCAGAGAAACGAAAAAACACACAGGGCAGACAGACAGAGAGAGAGAGACAGACAGAGACGGACAGCGACGGACAGAGACAGAGAGAGAGAGAGAGAGACAGAGAGAGAGAGAGAGAGAGAGAGTGGAGAAAGAGAAAGAGAGGGAGAGAGAGAGAGAGAGAGACCCCAGCCCTTCCAAAGCAGCAAACCAGGCTTTCGCACAAAGACCCTGCTTTCCTGTTGAAAGACCCAAATTCCCCTGTTTGTGCGCTTCTCATGTTCAACTTCAATGTCTCAAAGCATGCAACCAAAATTGCAGCCACGCTTTCCGAAAACCACCTCTCACAAAGCGACGGGTTTTCCTGGTGTGGTTCACGGGCTTTTCACGGCTTTTTCCACGGTTTTTCTGGGTCGTTTCACGTGTTCACGCTACGATGGGTTGCAACAATTTTCTAGGTCCCCCAGTCGTGCCCTTCTCTACCCCTTTTTTGCGCGAGGGTTCCCCTACTAAAATAGATTACAGAAAAAAGGGCACCCTTATTCTAGCCTCTCTACTGGAGGACCTAGTTTTGCTCCCTGTGCTCGATTTACATTGGCAAAGCTATCTAATTAGATCCCTGGCAGCAGTTCGAAGGCACCAAACATTGGTAAAACCAGGTCGAGGAAGTCCTGGGAACACAGACAGACAGAGAGAGACGGACAGAGACGGACAGGAAGAGACTCTTGGTTTCCCTTGAAAGCCACGCAAATGGGTACCCTCAAAAATGACACGCCCAATCAGGGTTTTAACAGGTTTTAATGAGCATAGGTGTCCTTTTTGTTTGTTTTGGTAGAAAAAGAGATGGTTCTGGTTTTCCTGGTGGTTTATTCATCCACCAGGGCCATCTATTTCCCCTAAAAGGACACCCATGTTAATGAGGGTTTGGCACAGCCCTTTCCATTTTTTGTGCAGGCCAGCTTCCATTCCATGGAGTGCACGCCAACTGTCGGTGGTCCTCCGGTAGCCGCCACCCACCAAGGGCATCTTGGCCAGCACCATCTTTTTTTTCATTGGTTGGGTGTACTAGGCAGTAGTGCCCTTTCACGTTTTTTTGGGGGAGGGTTCCCCTACTAAAATAGACTACAGAAAAAAAGTACCCTTATTCTAACCTCTCTACTGGAGGACCTGGTGTAGAAATCGAGGAGACAGTTGCAGGTCATCCCAAAAGGACTGGCATAAGGAAAACATGCAACCGACTTGTCTATTTTTGCGCAAAGGACAATGCTGGGTGTGACTGTTTCCCAGACGCGCTTCGCTTTTTGCAGGGGGTCACTTCGGGTATCTTCGGGTTGCCCTTTGGTGACCTTTAATCTTCTCATCACCCTTTGGGCTTAGTGTGATACGTGCAGAAGGACTGCAAATCCTTTAGAAAATGATGATGCCCCCTCCAACCATCAAATAGTTGTCACTTGTCCCCTGTTCACCTTCATTTCCCTATATGAGTATGGCTCAAAATTACAGAGCTGGGGTTACTGGGCTTTAGTCTTTGGTTCCATTTACCGAGGTGCCATTTTGGTACCACTTTCTTGAGCCGAAGCCATATAGCCTTCAGTGTCCCTTGAAAATCAGCCGCCCAAGCGCCCAAGTCCCGGACCAAAAGCAGGCACGTGGAGAGGCTGAACCGCTTCCTGAGACGCGTGAACCAACATGGCCCGGTTCTGCGGAAAGAGGTAAGACATCGCAGGGGAGAGATGTGAGGCAAGCCGAAATCTCGAAAACTCCGGGGGTTGGGCTTTTCATGAACCAACCTTGGTGGTTCCCAGCCATCCAGTTCAGAAAGGCTTATAGTTAGTTTTAGCTGGTTTAGTGGTAGTTTCCACACACTGAAAGTTAATCTTGCAGCAGTGTTGGTGTTCTAAGCACCTTGATTTTTGAGAAAGCCCTACATGTTGAAGCACATGTTGTTGACGCAACGTCCTTCTGTCCTTCCAATTGGACCAGGCGCTGGCTGTCGAAATGCCCAACCCCGCCTGCCCTAAGAACTGGCAGTCTTGAGGTGTCCCTTCTGGCAAACACGGGGAAGCTTGGTCACAGGCCGATGGCTCTACTTTCAGTTTGGTGACAGAAACATTCACCACACGGAAAGTAGTATCATGCAAGACATCTGCCATTTCCTGTATCATTGACCATGCTACTGTCAGCTTGGTGACCAGCATAATTTTCCCGTTGTTGCATTTTTAGGACACCTAGTTCAACTCGCGGTCGGATGTTACGTCCGGGAGGCCCGGTTCGGCTTTTTTACCACGAGCTTTGGTCAGCAAGGCTCTGCGTGATTTCCCAAAGCTCGGTTCAGCTCAGTTGGTCTTTCGGTCATTTTACCGCACGCCGTTGGAAGACGACACTGTTTTCCCCAAGCGTTCCACTTGTTTTGTTGCAGGGAAGCCTTAGTTGGTGGTTTGGATTGGATTGGGATTTGAGCCCCTGGCTTTTGTAGACTTAGCCACCAAACCGTCAATCCAAACCACCGACGAGAGGGAAGCTAATTGCTGCAGGGGAGAAAGACCAACTCGGAAGAAAGCAAGAAACTTCGCCCTTCCCGCCAGCCATGCCCGTCCCCGGGACCGGAGCAAGGCTCGCCAATCTGAGACATTCGCCCACGAAAAACCTATTCTCCTGCGGATACGTGGAGAATGGGTTTCGGCGAAATGTCTTGCAAGTTGTCGTCTGTGCAGGTTGAGTGTTCGAGCTTCAAGCGAAACCCTAGTCTCGAGAAGATGCCGTCCGGACTTCGCCCCTGTTCCAGGATTTACCCGTGGAGTCAGTTTTCGGTGTGATGTCTGGCGCTTGTCTTTTCCCGTGCAGGCTGAGTGTTTGAGCTGAAAGCGAACACCTCGCCCTCCAAGTCGTCCGGCATGGATGTTGAGAGAGCGAGAGAGAAAGAACCCAAAGCACCAGTTTGCCGTGATACGGTGGACGAAATCCATTTCGCACCGTTCAGGAACCCTGGAATTCGATTCGATTTCCCAACATAAATACCAACAAAGAATGGTTTCCCATGGCTTCAAAGTGGTGCAGGATTTCGTCCACCCACAGTAGGGGTCACAACCATTCTTGCAGAACTCAGATTTGGTCCTGAGTATGGCCGTTCCGTGTGAAGGGATTGGGATGCCTCTCACTGCCCCTTTTTATGTGGTCAGTGTTTTCGCGGCAGGTGTGCTATGGTCATTTGAGTTTATTTGCAGAATTTGGAGACGGTTGTCGAGACGGTTGTCAACCCTCGAAGGGAACAAAAGCATGAGAATTCCTTGTCCGGACCTGGGATTAAGAATCAGCACCAACTGTAGCAAGCTTACCCACGCGCGTGATTTATATTGACTTCTGCGGATTACTGTTGAGTGTTTCGTTGCGGTGCAATCCATTCTACAGGGCCCATCTGTTTGAGCAACAGCAACCAATGGAGGGTGTCCTTTGGTCGGCTTCAAATCAGGCCTTCCCGATTTGACCGAGTATCATTTGGGTGTGTCTTTTTGAGGGTACTCTTTTTTTTGTTGGTTTTGAGGGCAAAGCAAGCGGAAAAGCACAACAGTTTGGAGGGTCCAAATCCCTATTTGACAAGACACCCATATGGCCATGTGTTTTTTTTTTAAATAATGCCCCCCACCCCAAAAAAATGATTTCCTCTTGGTGTCCCTTCAAAATCACCTAAAACGGTGCGCCCTGGAAAAAGACCAGCCACCATATGGTTCCAAGCCTTTTGCGGAGCCAGCCATTGCAGCGTGACTAGTGACTCAAATCGACTGAGGAGGGGCTTATGGCTCCAATCCAACCTCGTAGCGTTGAATCATTAGGTTTGTGTCAAAAAAAGGGTAAACCCCCCCTTTTCCCTCCCCCCCCAAAAAAAAACAACAACAACAAAATAGACAGGGGATGAGTTCTGGTTGTTTGGATCTTTGGACTTGATTTTTTTCGGGAAACTGTAGTTTTTTCCATTGGACCCAGAAGTTAAGCGTGTAGCAGAGGGCTGGAGGCTGAAGTTTCGACGTCCATTCGAGGCACCCAGGAATCGACTGATCGCTTCTCAGGGAATCGGGGCTTTTGAGAATCTAATTGCATCCTGAAGGAAACCACCAGTTGGATGGGGGGGTCATGCCCGGCCTCATTCCTGGTCTATCCCCAAAGCGTTTTCACTGGGGGGTCATTCCCGGCCTCATTCCCGGTCTATCCCCAAACAATGAAGCCTTGAGCCCTTGGGTGGGGCTGGAGGCCTTTGGTTTCCTGATACCTTGGGCAAAACAACCGGTTCGCTCCCTGGTCCCTGAAGTTTGTACCCAAACTTGCTCCCAAGACTCGTAAGTCATGGTTCCTCTGAACCCGAATGCCCCCCCAATGGGGGGGGGGGGGCAATCAGACTGTTTGCGTTTCTCAAAATACGGGACCCCTACAATTGGGTGGATTCCTTGTGGCGCACCCTCAAATCCATCCACAAGGGGCTCCACCATTTTGACAAACAGCCATCTAAGGGGAGGGGGGAACAACTTAAGTTCACTTTCCACAAAAGAGAAATATATGATCTTTCACTTAATGTGGCTGTGTCTTTTTTTGGGCACCCCCTCTGTTGGCGGTTTCAACAGGAAACCCAAAGGAAAGCCGCAGCCACTTTGCAGGTCCGATTCCTTAAACAAGACGAGCCAGGCAGTGGTTTTGGTGAATTTCCCGCCAGGTACATTCGGCATTATCCGAAGCACCTGCCTTACAACTCCTTGTTCCCAGCACACGCCTCAGCCTGGGAAGTCGGAGATGATCGGGGAGCCCAGCTTGTTTGGTTTCAAGCGAACCCTTCCATCTGGTTAAGAATATTATTCTTCCCCTGTTGGTTTTAAAGTGAATCTATCACTACTGGAAATGTTTATTGTTTCCAGGGGACTTAAGCAAATGGAGGACCCCCAAAAGGAAAGCACCTATTTTGGGGTGGGGGTGCGATTCCCAAAAAAGGAACACCCAGACGGGTCTGTCTCACAAGGAACCACCCATGAACTTGGGACAAAACTAGTCTACATTTTAGGGTAAATGTATAACAGAATCTGAGGTTTTGTTTTGGAGTAACTCACGGACGAGAAGAGTGAGTGGCGGTTTGCTGCTGGTTGGGGAGTGCCCATGATTCCTTAGGCCGCTTGTTGAGCGGAAAACCAGTAAGCCACAACGTGGTTAATTCTCGCAGAACCCTGGGCTTCAGTTCAGCGGTTCATTAAAAAAAAAAAAACTCCCCCCGTTGCGATTGAACCGAAAGACGGGATTTGGGGATTGCCTGTTAGTGGCTGGGATATTGGTTCATACCATGCCTCTAGACGTGGCTGAGTCCAAGGAGGCACTATTCCCAGGGAAGAGGGGTGCACACTTCTCCAAATGGGAGTCGGAACCTCCTCATTCGTGGCTTCCTTTGACATTCCTTTGAACAATGCCCGCCAAAGCAAAGAACCATCCCCCACAACTGTGAGGGGAGCCTTGCTTGCATTCCTGGTCGCTAAGAGGAGGATAATCGGGATGTACATTTTCAGTTCGGCTTCACCTGGAGAGTCCCTACTTCTAGGGGATCAACCACTCGTCCCTGGGTAGGCAAGTAAAACCTTGACTACTGTACCCATTCCAGGTCCCCCACTGCCTTTTACCCTTTTTTTGGGGAGGGTTCCCCTGCAAAAATAGACTACAGAAAAAAAAAAAGGTACCCTTATTCCAACCTCTCTACTGGGGGACCTAGTATTGTGACTTTAACTCTTTGTGGGCGTCTGAAGGGGAACGCTTCCCCAGAATTGATTATGTAGTGCGCCCTTGCTAAGCGAGGATTACGCATCTCTCCGACATCTATATTCACCCGAACACCAGTCACGCTGCAAGTTGATTTGCACACCCCATCCACGATTTCAAGTATCTCGTCCTCAACATGTCACACCCCTACCCCAAATGTTTGATTTCCAATCAGCATTGCAAGCATAGAGCAAGGAAAGCCTTCTGCAGTTTCGTGGTTTGTGCACTTGCCAACATTTAGGGACCAAGGTAGCTGTGCGCTAAACAGCACCCATCAACATGTTCAAATGCCCCAACAGGACACCCAAAGAGGATGGATATGTGTTGAGTGCGCCTCCAGACTTTCGAAAAGGATTTCAAGAGGGAACCTGGGTATATTTTTGTGTTTTTCCTGACTTCCCAACATGGACACCACGAGTTGGCCCTGGTATATTTTTCGATCCCTACCTTTGATCCCCCTCCACCACCCCTCCCCCGTCTCCCCCGTCCCCCCCCCCCCCCCACCCCTCTTCCCCCCCACCCCTCCCCCGTCCACCCCTCCCCCCCCCACCCCTCCCCCGTCCCCCCCCACCCCTCCCCGTCCCCCCCCACCCCTTCCCCCCCCCCACCCCCCCTCCATTCCGGGCCTCCTGCCTTCTCCGTTTCGGAGGCGCAGGACTCGGAGGCCTCGCGGAAGCGGCGGGAGGAGATCCGGAAGCTGATCCGCGAGGAGCTGCAGAAGGAAGGCGCGGAGGGAGGTCCTGCCGGGTTTCGCGGGTTTTTGGGGGTGGTGGCAAGGGGTTTTCTAAGGTGAGGGAGTGGTTTTGCTAAGGGGTTGGTTTTGCGTGGGTTGAGGTGAGTGGTTTTTTTAAGGTGAGGGATGGGGATGAGAGGAGGGATCCTGGAAGGCGGAAGGACTTTTGCAGTGGTTTTCGTGGGGAAACCAAGGCAAACTGAAGGGAACATGCTTGGTAACCGTTGAGGCTCACCGGAGTGCCCCAGAAATTCTCTTGGAGGGCTCCGAAACCACCTGGACGACCTCCATTTCGCAGCAACGAAGAATCCCTGGCATTCGAGCATGATGATTCCCCCGCAAATTCCAACAAACAATGGTTTCCCATGGTTTCATGCAATGGATTTGGTCCATCCACCTATAGCTAGTTTCCTCTGGTTTCATTTCGTGCCGGCCAATGTATGTTTTCTCCATCCGCCTTTGTCGCTACTGGTCCCCCAGTAGTGCCCTTTTACCCTTTTGAGGGAGGGTTCCCCTACTAAAGTAGACTACAGAAAAAAAGGTACCCTTATTCTAACCTCTCTACTGGACCTAGGCCAGGAGCGGGGGTTGTCACAACCCCACGGGCCGAGGCCAGCCTTCCGCGCTGGACGCCGAGCTCGTTGAGCCGGAGGCACGTGTGCCACGAGCCATGGGATGCTTGGGGACGCCTCAAGGGTTCCGGAGCTATCGAGGAGCAAAAAGCAACTTGATGAGGGTGGACAAAAACAAGTGAGGTTTTGGTAGTGGCTGGTGCCGGAACATGGACAGCTACACAAAATACTATGTTCCGTTTCTGGTGATGGACAAAAACAACATCCAGGAACCAGTTGGCATGGAGCAAACCCTGGGAATACTGGGATAGATGACCTACTGGTGCAGGAGGTTGCCCATCGACAAAGGGCGAACATCCACGTAGCCTTGACCACTCGCCGATCTGGGGGAAGTGAGCTGCGCCGTGATCCAAGCAACTTCGCCAGGTGTTTCTGGATTGAACCAAAACCAAACACCGAGAGCCCCATTCCATTTCACTGGTGGCTTCAAACATCACTTTTTGGTATCGGGAGCCCCGCGCTTCGTGGGATTCCCGTGGGAAGTGACAAAACACCTCGGAATCACCCAGCATCTGGATTCCTTGAAGTGAAGAGTTTGAGGGCTCTCAATTTCTCAAAATCATGGGGGGTGTTTTCCCTTTGGATCATTTTTGGGACGTCACTTGGGCCCAGTTTTACGGGTCCCTCCCTCCCTCCCTCCCTCCCTCCCTCCCTCCCTCCCTCCCTCCCGAAAAAGACAATTTTATTGATCCTTGGAGTGACTGCACCGGTGCTATGTACAGCTCCTGGGTTATGCGACAGTTGAATGGATTCCAGCAGAAAACGTCCTTCATGTGGGGGGAGCATTCCAACATGCATGACCAAAACTTGCTTCTCTACGCAATGAATCACCTGGAGCCAAAACAAAAACACATGTTGTTTAAAACAAAGTTATTGGAACATGAAACAACCGACATATCGGAGAATTACTTTATACAAATGATTCAGGGTAGACCACAGTCCCAAATGCAAATAGTTGTGGCTGAACGACCGGTATGATTAGTTGCATGGATTTGCGTAAACTGGTTGCATAATGTTTTTGAATACACATGGAATACGTTCTGAATACATGTTTTTGATTCACACCTGCATCGGCGCCTAGAGGAATGACCGCTAGGACGCACGCTGGGATCTCACGGAACACTCATGGGACGGCCTTTGCGGCTCGACGAAACCATTTGCGCGGAGCTGGGTTTCGACAAACTCCCACGTTTTTTTTTTTTTTTTTTCCAAGCTGTGGACTGCTGGCCACCCGAAATGGATGAGGCCAATCTCCCCCCCGAATTTCACATGCTGTGGAGATTTCAATAGGCGCCAAGAGCGAAAGATGGAGCCGGGCCTCGGGAATCAAGCCTTGGGCCTGGCATTTTTTCGTGTCGCCCGCCGTTTCACGGGCCGTTTTGGGTGTCGGAGGCGTTTGCTTGAGAAAATGACGAGGACGTCGCCTGCGGCGTTTTTTGCGAACTCCCTGTTCCAGGCCCAGTTACCACTAGTAGAGAACCCTTCACCATGAAAACCGCTGGTTTTTGTTTGGGAGGCTGGTTCCCTTGGTGACCAAACCGGGGAACTGGAATCACCGGGCCTTGTTTCGACAACCGGAAGGGAAAACCGCTCCATGCGCCAGGTGCCAATGCAAGAGGAGGTGCCAAAGGCCAAGGAACCAGGCGTGTAAAGAGAAGAGCCAAGGGCGAAGTTCCATTGGTTCATCTTGAAAACCGACGGGTCTGTTTTTTTGGGGGGGGGTACCCTTGTTTGGGCTTTGTTAAAGGAAACCAAGGGTTTGGGAAGAGGAAAACCACCATTGTAGTCGGCATTCACTCACCCGAAATATGTTTGTTGTTTATCTTATTTCTCCTGAAGTGATATCACCCCCCCCCCCCCCCGCCCCCCCGCGCCACACGCCCCCTCCCCCCTTCTTCCCATGATCCAAAGGAAGCCTCAAAACTATGGGTGTCCTTGTCAGTTTGCTTGAACATAGATGGCACTGTGTTCGTTTCTTTGGTTCTAATATTTGACCAGTGCCATTTTTTTTCAACGGATGCCTATGCACACATTGTCGTGTCGTGATTGTAACGTTTTTGTTGTTTTTGTTTTTTGTATTCCACACCTCCACTTCCAAGTTTCACTTCGACGCATGATACCAGTTGGTGCAGATATGTCCCCCTCAAAGTTTGTTTGTTCCCTTGGAAAACAGAAAGGCACTCCAAACTCTCCGAACGAACATCAGGGTACAGCAGGACCTGCCCTTTGGGCGCTGGATTGGGCTTGGGCTTCGGTTGGTCAAGGGCTTGTGGCTTGTGTCACAGGAACTTGGGACCTGAGAGGGAAGGTTTTGTGTGTGTGGGTTGTTTTGTGAGGGTACCCCCTTGTTTGTGGCTTTAATGGGAAAGCCACCCTGCTTTGAGGCACAAGCGGAGCTGTTCCTGAACAAGACCCCAGATGAGCTTGTTGACACGTCAGATAGGGTTATATACCTTTCCTGGTGTGCCCGGATTCCCGCTTTGCCCTTGCCCCTGGTGTCTGACCCTCCAGCTTCCCTTGGGTTTCTTGTGGTGTCCCGCTTCCCCCTTGGTTTGCCACCCCTTCATTTTCCCTGGTGTCTGACCCTGGATTCCCCCTGATTTGTTCTGCGATGTTCTACAGTGTTCCGCGGGCTTTCGCGATGTTCTGAGACTGGGGGGCCTGTGCGCTTGCGACTGCGTGACAGGCGAGCTTCAGCTTTGCGATTGCGAGAGTGTTTTGCAAGCTGGGCACATGCGAGGACTAATTATATTCTAGGAAATCCATAGAAGAAATGTGAGGAATGAGGCATAGGCCAATAATGATGGGGCCAGCCAAGAGTCAAACTAGCCACCATCAAGCCCGAGTAGATGAAGGTGCGTAAGTTACCGACCCTGCCAAAATTTGATGACGCGCCGCTTCTTGGTTTCCTTACATGGATGTGGGTTCCCCGAAAGACGCTCGATTAGCACCAAACACCCGGGGGACATAATTTTGTGTAACGAACGAAGGTCCAGGCAGGTTTTGATTGCATGACTGGCCGCGGTCGGAAACGCCACCGGTTGCGGCCGAGATGGCCAGTGAGGCCCGAAGAAGATGAAGAAAGCGCGGAAGCGGTCGAAAGCAATGGAGAAGGAGGAGGTAGAGGAGGCGAAGGTGCAGCCAACAAAGGCAACCGGGGGAACATGTGGCTGCTGTTTGGTTGGATCTGCCGGTTTCATGTTGTTTTGGGGGAAAAGGTGTTCTTCCTCAATAGCCAGCAACAGCTCAGCTTTGGCGGATAGAGACCATAGCCACACAGAAGAGGAGTCATAGTTGTGATTGCCCCAAGATAGACTTGGCCCCCTGGCTTGACGTGTACCTTGAAGTCATCCAAAAGTGGAGGTCTGCTGGGAACTCTGCAAAACGCCAGGCAAACCCAAGAGAGGGGCACATTGGACTTTCTGTGACTGATCTAGTCTGTACTTGTCATTCTGTGGGATGAACAAACACCATATCACACCACTTTGAAACCACGGTTGAAACCCCTTCTTGTTCTTGGTATTTACAGGAGAGTCATCAGAAATCAATGTTTCTCAGGTGGTGCGAAATGCATTTCGCAACCATCCACAGTATCATCCCCATCAAGGGTCCAACTCAGGTTTTACACACTACCAGCTTGGCCAGTTGCCAGTACCAGCTGGGTCGCCGGAAAGAACGAGCTGCCGGCTGAAGTCTCTGTCTAAGTTTGTTGCTTCAGGCTGACAGCCTATGTGAAGGAAAACCAAAGGCGACCCTTACCATGTTAGGTGATTGTGTTCTTACCCCCCCAAAGCAGGTCTTTTTCTCGGAGCTTGCCTGATAGGACCCGCAACTGACAGATTCTCAAGTTTTGGGCTAGGAGCGGTGCCATTCACCCCAGATGACCGTTGGGCAAACCATTGGAGCCAATATTCAGGCCAGGACCCACGTGATTTGTGACAAACCTGTCAAAGGAAAAACCCAAAAAAACACCCCTGAAGCGGGTGGGGAATGACCCCTGGTCTTTATTAAGAGCTTCATGCCGCCTGAGGAACGACTGGAACTCTTCACCCACCACCCCTGACGACTGCGAGGATCAATGGATAAGTCTGCGCAAATCATACGCTCTCCGAGGGGCAAAATGCCGTAGTTTGCCCAGATGCAACGACTGGTTGTGTTTGTTCGAGGGCACCCCAGAGGGAAACTAAGTATATAGCCGCTACCTGAAGGTTTTATACCCCATGTTCCGATTGACCCCATTTGCTCACTGCTCTCTCCCTAAGTTTATGGACTTTGTACTTGTTTGGAACACCATTTCAGGGATTAACAATAAGTTCCGACTTGGTTTGGCCAATTCGCCCAGGACGTGAGTGTACCAATTTTCAAGGGTTCCCATGTTGTGCCAATGTTTGAGTCACCCCCCCACATGTTGAGTTTCGTTTTGGGTTCAATTCATTCAGGAAGCGAGTTTTGGATGGTGGTTTAAGGAGACCAATAAGGATTTGTTGGGGTCCCCTGTGTTTTACAGCTCAACTTTGAACATTGAAGCCGAAGCCCATGTGAAGGTCAAAGACTTGGAGGAGCCTGCGCCGAAGCGTGCAGGCGCGCTTCCTGTTTTTGGAGGGTACCACTGTTTTGCTTGGTGTTCAAGGGAAGGCAAAAAAAAAACACTTTTTGGAGCGGGGTTGGGTCTCTGAATCAAACACTTGGCGATGGTATCGGTGTGTCATGACGGGACCCACTCAATTGTTTGAACGCTGTCACGCCCATCTTGTTTTTTTGTTGTTGTTTTTTGTTGCCAGCCGCCTAGTGCGTCGCAAACTTTGCACTCCTTGCGGAGGAGTGTCTGACCGGGGGATAGCAAGAGCTCATCACACTACTTGGGCATCCCTTACTTGCCGACAAATCAACATGGAACCCAAATAGGGGGTCTCCCAAAGGAGATTCCGCTGGGCAGTAGTGCTCATACAGCAAGGGCGAGCCGGCCGACCTGAGGTCACAGGGGTTGGGAGGTCCTCATAGTTGGGGATGGCTTTGGTTCAGGGGGCTCTGGTAAACTATACAGGGAACCATGTGTTATTGGCATACATGTTGGGATTGGTGATGTTAGAGCCTGGGGCATGCCAACCTGCTTCTATGATTTACTCATCATTGAAGCATGCAGGCCAAATCCCGGCTCTCGGCAAGTGCCAAGGCGCCCGGAGATCTTGCCACGTGTTTCTCTCGCCTGTGTTCCAGTTTCCAGGGATCGTTTTCGCCGAAGAGCGGTTTCCAACACACAAAGCCAGACCTGAGCGGTAGCCCGAAAAAGAACGCGGGCGAACTCACCGCGATTTCACAGGGAATATTTGATAACGGTTGGTGCATATGGTGCATCATTACGCAATTTGCCCAGAAACGCTGCTCAGTGGCTGGAACCTGTATATTTGGGTGTCCGTTTGGCTTCCCTTTTCAACCACACAACGGGAGGCCCGTATTGAGCCTCCCTTTTTGTGCCTGCCAAATCAGCAGGATTTCTGGAGGTTCCGGGATCGGGCTGTTTGACTTGTAACTTCCTGGCTGGCTCCATAGGCAGGGAATGCGGCAACATCCCCCGGGGTTTCCTTTAAGGCGATCCCGCGGAGCTTCATGTCCAGAAGCTGTCAGGAGGTTCCCTGAGAATCAACCAGGTGTGGCCACGTCGGGATGCACATCTATTACCATGCGGCCTACGTGAGGTTCAGTCAGACTTTTTGAGAGGGACGCCGGAAGATGAACTCGCAAGTTTCCGCAACATTCGGCCTCTTATCAAGTCGTACTGTGGATGGACGAAATTCTGCAACACCTAAGAAACCCTGGAATGATGATCCCCCTGTAATACCAGGCAACAATGGTTTCCGCATGGCTTCATTTCGTGGTGCAACATGGAGTCTGTCCACAGTATGAACGCCATGCCTTGTGGTTGGGTCTTTGGTTGGGTCGCCCGGTGGTTGACATGGCAGGTAAGGTGAAGAAGAAGGGCAAGGCCAAAGCTGTGGAACCTGAGGCCGGAGTTCTGGCCAAGGCCTGTTTGGTGCAGGCTACCAGTGATGTCTTCCATTTCTGAAATGAATGTGCTTACTTTCCCCTGTTGGTGCTTAAGGGAATCTATCACTACTGGAAAGATGGCCTCTTTTTTTCCAGGGGACTTCAGCCGATGGAAGATGTGTGTCTGGTTTTAAATGGACATGAAAAGGACACCACCCAAAAGAAACTGGGGTCCAAAAAGCAATTTGAGACAAACCCTTATGTGAGCTCCTGGAATGACCCCCTAGCTTATTGGTGGATCATCGAACATTTATGATTGAATTGCAGGAAACTGGCCCCCAAACGGGTCGCAGATCTGTGGGTTGCAAAAACTGCACCCCAAAACTGTTGTGGTTCATCATTTTTTCAGGAAAATTACCGTTTTGCCTGCTTGCTGTTGAAATTTCATCCCTGGTGCTACAACACCCGTCCAGGCTTGCAGAGCAGACCGAACGCTGTCCTTTGAGAACCACCAAACAAGGGATAATTTCGGGGTACCGTCAGAGAAAGACACATGTTCAGGGGATCTTCTAACTGGTGGCTTTCAACAACACCTTTGGCATGCATGTGCCTGAGGTGTTCCTAGAATTGCCCCCTTTTGCTTCGCCTCGGTCGGGTTTCTAGTCATGACTGATGAATGTGATATGTTCCTTGGTTGCATTTGTAGAAAATGGACTATGTTCACAACAAGCTCACCGTTTTTGCTGAAACATTATTCTTCCTAGCAACCTGCATCATCATTCGGAGATTCGGAATGGTCAAACCACACATCCGGACGACTCATGCTGGTGCTGCTAATTGAGACTCCATCTCCAAGCTTTCCCCTCCAACAATTCAGTGGCACCTCCACCCTCCCACCGGCCCCCCCCCCCCCCAAGTTTCCTTTCTCTCATCTAGGACTCCCTTCTGCTTCGGCAGTTCGGGCCCAGTACTGAATTGATTCTGCGATGTTCACAGGAGGCCTCCCTTTTCCCCACGCCAGTTGGAGGGACCGCCACAAGCGAAGAAGGTCAAGAAAGGCCGGGCTGACTCGAGATGGAGCTTTGGATCTTTAACTTTGGAACGCTAAAACGCAAAAGCCACGAAGAAGTTGACCTTAGCAAAAAACCAATAGATTTGAAAGCCTCACTTCCTGAGTTCATGACTTGATTCCTTTTTGGGAAGACCGTTTTGGTGGTAAACAAGAAGTTTGGACTTGTGTTTTTTGCCAATCCACTCAGGAAGTGAGAAGCCAGGGTTCGGCCAGCTGGAGCGCATACGTCGCATTGTGGTTCCCCATTTGGAACCAGTCCCTGAAGGATGCATACGTCGGCTCAGCACGCCCCACATGGATGATGTCCCGCAAAAAATGCCTCCTACAATTGGAATTTATGCCCATGTGGTATGCCCCCTGTCTGCTTATGTTGAAAATCGTGTTTGGGTGTTCATTGAGGCCAGGACCCAGGAACTGCCGTTTGACATCAGGAGTGCAGTTCCTGAGACGTATGCATGGGGTTTCGGTTTCTCCACAAGACACCGGGCCCCTTTTTGGTATGGTCCCGTTTGGCCGCCCCAAGTTACCCTCCCTCCTAGAACCCACCGGAAAGGTCCCGAGGAAGGTGGTCGTCCAGCCCTGAGTCAGGTTTTATGCTCGTCGGCAGTGTCTAGTCGGTCCTTATCTTCCAATTGCGCGAGTAAATGTTCAGTTGTTCCTTGGCTTTAAAGGGAATCGATTTCACTACCGGACACATGTTCTCATGTTTTTCAGGGGGGAACACCGCAAATGGATGTTATGGCTATTCTTCAGCCAGTCCCACACAATTTGCCGGGGGGCCATCGGCTGCCTACGTTTCTTTGGCCGGCTTCCTTTTTCGGTGCGTAGTACCCTGTAAGCCAAGCACGCCGGTTTCCACGTGGGCGCCTTTTTCCCATAGCCGCGGGCTTCTCTTCTGGGGTGGTTCAGTTCCTTTCTTCAAACGACCGAGCAAAGCCTAGGGGCCTTTTTGCCTACTTGCCCATTTTCTGAAGAAGATTCTTTGTATTTTCCCCTGTTGGTTTCAAAGGGAATCTGTCACTACTGGAACCATTTGTATTTTTTCCAGGGGACTTAAAGCAAATGGAAGCCGCTGCATCAGATCTACAATGGTGGGGTAAACTTGGGTGAAAGTGGATGGCACACGTTTCTGGTAGACAAAACGCACATGGAATTGTGCCATCCGCCTGCTGACCGCAACGCACGAATTGGCTGGCAGTGGAACCGTATCATCGGTTTTTGCCCACGTAAATTGTCTGGAAATTACACGTGCCTTGCAGAATGTAGATCTGGGAGAAAGGGATCTTGCAGTGTTCTGGACCCCTTTGATCGGCACCGTCCCCCCTTTAATATTGTAGGTGGAGCCACAGTCCCCTAAGTGCCAATGATTTCTAGCATGTTGGGCTTGCGCGGTGGAGCCCTTTTTGTTTCCAATGTTTGCCACTGTAGTTCCACTGGTTGCCTGGGCATCTCTTGCAATGTTAGGGTGGCTGAAGGTGATTGGTTCACTTGCACACTTGCAAAAATTGAAAACATCCACGGTTGTATCTTTTGTTGCACCTGCACATATTAAACCTGTGTTAGGGCGACCAAAGGGAAACCGCCCTTTTTGGTCATTCCCTGTGAGACAAACACGTATTAGGCGTGAGTTTGAATTGGGAAGCCTTTGTTGGAACTCCTTTATGTGCGGATTTATGTCCACCAACATGTTTTATGGGTGGTCTCCATCCAAAATTCATGGATGAAGGTATACGCACCCCTAGTTATTGGCAAGTTTTCGTCAGTTGTGGTTTCATTATGAAAACAATAGCTGAAAGGGGTTCGCCATTGTTAGACATCCTCAGTAGTTTAGGGCATACACTGGTACCAAGGCTTGAGCTTCCCCCAATGTCCCGTTCAAGGCGACAAGGTGAAGGCCAAGGCGGATGGGCAGCTTCCACTGCATCCCTCCTGGGCTGCGGCGAAGAATGCCAAGGCGGGGGGGTTCTGTTTGGTCGGTCGCTACTGTCTACTTCGGCCAACATGGTTGTATTGTGTGTGTGTGTGGGTGGGTGTGCGTGTGCGTGTGTGCGTGTGTGCGTGTGTGCGTGTGTGCGTGTGTGCGTGTGTGCGTGTGTGCGTGTGTGCGTGTGTGCGTGTGTGCGTGTGTGCGCGTGTGCGCGTGTGTGCGTGTGTGCGTGGGTGTGCGCGTGTGTGCGTGGGTGCGCGCGTGTGTGCGTGTGTGCGGGTGTGTGCGGGTGTGCGTGTGTGCGTGTGTGCGTGTGTGCGTGTGTGCGTGTGTGCGCGTGTGTGCGTGTGTGCGTGTGTGCGTGTGTGCGTGTGTGCGTGTGTGCGTGTGTGCGTGTGTGCGTGTGTGCGTGTGTGCGTGTGTGCGTGTGTGTGCGTGTGTGTGCGTGTGTGCGTGTGTGCGTGTGTGCGTGTGTGTGTGTGCGTGTGTGCGTGTGTGCGTGTGTGCGTGTGTGCGTGTGTGCGTGTGTGCGTGTGTGCGTGTGTGCGTGTGTGCGTGTGTGCGTGTGTGCGTGTGTGTGCGTGTGTGCGTGTGTGCGTGTGTGCGTGTGTGCGTGTGTGCGTGTGTGCGTGTGTGCGTGTGTGTGTGTGCGTGTGTGCGTGTGTGCGTGTGTGCGAGTGTGTGTGTGTGTGTGTGTGTGTGTGTGTGTGTGTGTGTGTGTGTGTGTGTGTGTGTGTGTGGTGTGTGTGTGTGTGTGTGTGTGTGTGTGTGTGTGTGTGTGTGTGTGTGTGTGTGTGTGTGTGTGTGTGTGTGTGTGCGTGCGTGTGTGTGTGTGTGCGCGCGCGCGTGGGTGTGTGTGTGTTTTATCTCTATATGTATACATATATATATATATCAGAAAGGGACGCTATAAGGGACTACTGTACAGTGATTTGTTTCTAGATTCCAAGGATCATGGTTCCTCCGATACAGTTATGAAGTCCTTTTTTTAGGGTACCCAGGTGGTGGTTTTCCTTTTGGTTTACCTTTAAAACCATCCAAGCAAGGGTACCTCAAAAGATAGACGCACCCTTGTAAGAGTACGAAAGGACCTCCTTGGGGGTTGATCATTTTAAGGTTGTATGCAATACATAGGTCTCAGTAAGGCCAGATGAGAGAAGAAAGGGGCGTTTTGAAGAAGATGGTCGTTCACAACCCAACCGTCCGCGTCCACGACAGCTGGAAAGAGGGTCCCTGACTGTCAACTTGAGAATCCGGAGTGACCATACTCATCCGGAGTGATGTTTCCACTTTACATGGTTGTTGTTGGGAAGCATTTTTATATACATTTTGGCTTATGTTGGTTGAGTGGTTGAAATCCTCCACTTAACTGCTAAAAATTATTTTGTTTGCTCCCCTTCCAACGTCAACCAAGTTTAGAAGGTGATCGGTTCATTTAGGGAATTCATGCATGAAGCACATTCCTGTGATACATGCAGGCCGGATTCATCCAAAATTACTAGTATTGGAAGCATGTCCGGATATGTTTCAAAGCAACTTGTGTTTTGAGCTCCTTCCAGCTTTTCAGCAGACTTTGTGCAGGTGTTGAGAGTGTGTCCTCCGAAGGTTTGCTCCTTTCGACTTCTGCCTTAGAAGCATGTTGCCCCTGCAAAGTGGCGGATGCCAAACTTGTCCCAGGGGCCAACAGACCCTGTGGACAGGCTTGATCATGAGTGAAGGGTCCGAACTGAACATGAGAACCGAGATGCCCGAATCGTCTTTTCAAAAACCGCCCAAAGAAGCAGAACTGGGCATTGGTCAAACTACAACCACCCGGGGACCGCAGGTTTTAGTCTTTGGTTCCATCTACCAGGGCAAGCCATTTGGGGTGACCGCATTTTTGACCCATCGCCAAATACCCTTGACAAGTGACTTTTGTCATTGGTCCACCTCTTGAAGGAGGACACCTTTTTGAGATGGAATCAACAAAGACATCCAGTTCAAAGTGCAACCCCCTGGCCCAAAGATCGGTGTTTTTTTGTTTTGTTCACACATGTGACACATGTGAGACACCTGACTTCCCATGACAAATGCATCTCCCTATTTGTTATTGTTTGTTAAGCAGGGGCTGACATGATACTCGCAATCAGTATGAGGAGGACGCCACCTGGAAGACCTGTATTTTCGCTTAGTTATTTTAGCAGGGGCTGACATGATACTCTCAACCAGTACGAGGAACACGCCACCCGGAAGACCCGTCTTCGCGCGTTCTTTGCGTCCAGGTCGCCGGCGCCATCGTCTCCAGCGCTGGCGACCGCAAGGTCTTCGACAGCGACAGTGACGCGTGAGGGCGAGCCACGAGAAAAAGAAACAACGCCGACTCCAAGTTGGAGGGAACCTAAAGAGGCCTTGTTCAGGGAACCTTTAGAAAAATGTCCCCAAGTCTTCGCACCACCGTTCAGAAAACCTGGGATGATGATTCCGCTTTCAACACAAGCAGTGGCTTGGCATGGTTTCAATTTGGTGCAAAATGTTGTCCAGCAACAGCAGGTTGAAGTGTACCAGGAGATTCCGTGACAATGAAAACATGGGTGTGGCTTGTTTAGAGGGTAATTAATATTTCAAGGGAAACCAAGAGAAAAAAACCCAAACTCCCTTTTCATGCCCATTTGTTGTTAAGGAGCCGAGGTTGAACAAAAGTTTGGGTCATGTAACCTCAAGTGTTGCGTTGTGTGACCCCATGTTTAGACTGTTATGGATGTGTATATATATATATACACACGTATATCCGTGTACACGTACTATATTCTTCCCCAAAGCAAGTCGACCAGCTCTTGGCGTCCTTTTGATGTTCCTTATTACCCTTCCGCATTGCCATGGAGGCTGACTGGGTAGCACACTCCAAACAACGGAATTCCAGTTTATACAATGATTTGGGTGCGGCTCAAAACGCAGGACCCGGGATGCAGATGTGCGTTTTGTGTCCTGCAAGCTGGAGTTGGGGGGGGGTGTACCCAGATTTTGAGCCATTCAAGACACTTACGCAACAATCAAGAATCGGGTAGATTTTGGAATAGTACAAGACGAAACATAAATAGGTGCGGCCACCTTTTAAAATTACTTTAGTGTAGATGTTTAGGCCAGCACTGGGCATTTGTACCCACGAGCCCAGCCCAGTTGTCATGTTGAGGGCCATAGTAGCCGCCAAAATGATTGGTAGTTTGCATGCTGTTTGGTTTGGGAGAACACGGGGTGACATGTCGAACCAACATCGGCAAGACTGACCTCGCGGGGAAACAAGCGCCAGATGCGCTGGATCAGCCGAAGTGAGTTGCCACAGATCACATCTCGCAGTGCCGGAAGAAGTGTCGTTATGGATTTCTGCTGAACCTGCTGGGGTCTCGACAGTACGTGAGCCCGGGATGTGCGGTTAGCCATGGAGACCCAGGATGTGGCGCATGAGGCTGACTGGAAACGGGAGTGGTGGATACACTGCATCCACCATTCCATAATAATGGAGGGAAGAGGGGCAGAGGAGGAGCCTCAACAAAACCTCCTATGCCACTTGTACGTCCTTGTTGTGGAATCGATGCTGCAACCATATCCACCAATGTTGTTCTGGAGCTTGGGGGCGTCTTTTTATGAGTGAGCATGCACTGGAGAGTGGCAGACATGGCTGGAGTAGGCGCAGGATGGAAGGGCATGTTGGGAAGCCCATGGCTACTTTTAGCTTACATTTCGTGGTTTCCTCAGTCAAGAGAGGTTCTGCTGCAGGTTCTACTCCCCTGCTGATGAAATGGATCCCACAAAACCCTGACTTGCGGAGGAATCTCTTTTGGGGCACCCATTTGGGGGTTCCAGCCGAAAAGACACTTGCAGTTCCATGGATTTCTCACCAAGATCAAGTTGCTTTGCGGGAGTAAGAAGTTTCCCCCCCAAGCAATATTCCGCCCCATGGATTCAAGCAGTTGGGGCATTCTGTTCGTGGGAGTCCGCGAGACTGGAAGGTGACTTGCACCCCAGTTCCCAACGCACCTGATGGGGTCCTGCCTTTAAATTGGGAACCACCTCTAAAGTGCTTGGTGTACATGAATCCCCATTTACGTGATGTCCACCAAAGGGCGCGCTGTTGAAGGTCACACCCGCAGCATCCCACAGCTGTAAGCACGAGTGAGAGCGCCCGAACGACGATCAGCTCCATTGTCAGGTGCCGCCGGCGGCGGCCTTGGCGAAGCAAAGTGACACGTCGTTGTCGTATAGTGTTTGCAGTTTTGCAAATACAAAATGAAACGGCAAGCATCATGCTTGCTCCTTTTGTGTCTTAATTTTGTACGCATGTTTGGCTTTTGCTTGTATTCATGATTGGCTCTGGCATTGCTAGCATTGTGTTTGCATTGTGTATATGCATTAGGCGGGTCAGATGCATTTTGTGCATGGTGCATGCATTTTGTTTACCTTTGTTTGCATGTTGTATGGGATGTTGCAGTTGAATGTCTTCGACACGCATGCAACATGAGTACCAAATGCATGCAAATCGAATACAACATGCACGTTGCATTGTTGTGTGCCTTTTGTATGCATTTGTGGCATGCAGTGTTGTGTGGATTTTGTACGCACTGTTTGCTCTGGCGCAGCACGCATTTTTCTGTGCCAACATGCGTCCAACATGCATACAAAAGGCATACAGCAAGCATGCAACATGCATTTGTGAGTGCATTATGTATGCTTGTTGTATGATTTTTGTATGTATGTTGTATGCCTTTGTAGCCTACGCAATGCATACAAAAGGCAATGTGATTGGCTCTTGAATTCACGTGCTTGCCCCAAAACTTGCTTGCTTGCCCTTGCTTTCCCTGAATGCGCTTGATGTCCCGCTTGCCCTTTCCCTTGTTTTGCCTTGCTTTTCTTTGCTTTGCCTTGCTTTCACTTGAGTTCGATTGCTTTCCCTTGCTTTGCCCTGCTTTGCTTTGCTTTCCATTGAATTTGCTTTCTTGCCCTTACTTTGCTTTGCTTTGGTTTGCCTTGCTTTCCCTTGCTGTCCCGTGCTGTTTCCCTTGCTTCGTCTTGCTTGCCTTGCTTTCTCTTGCTTTCTTATGCTCTCTCTTGCTTTGCCGTGTTTTCCCTTGAATTTGCGTGCTTGCCCTGTCTTTCCCTTGCTTTCCTTTGCTTTGCCTTGCCTTCCCTTGAATTTGCTTGCTTGCCCTTGCTCTCCCTTTGTTTCCCTTGTTGTTTTTTACTTTTCCCAGGTTTCCCTTGCTTTGCCCTGCTTTCCCTTGCCTGCTCGTGCTTTCCCTTTGCTTTCTTTTGCTTTCCCTTGCTTTCGCTTTCTGTTCCTTGCTTTCCCTTTCTTTGCCCTGCTTTGCCTTATTTCCATTCGCACCCGTGCTGCCACGATCAAGGCAGCGGCTTCCTGTTGTTGCCAGACTGGTTTGCGAAGGAAGCTCCTCTTGCGGGACCCACTTTTGGGGTTCCATGTCAACTTGTGGGGGAGTAACATGAATCCAATAGGAAACCAACCATGTCAGACCCATTCTCCGTATTTTGAGGCACCCCCATCACCCATTGCCAATAGCTCAGCTGGAGTCAGGACTCATGTGCTACACGTCATAAATGTAATTGAAGCAAGTCAATAAATGCACAGCTTGCTACGCGCTGAAATTAAAGTTCAATGTAGCTAATCACAGTGGTTTGCTATATGCTATTCTACACCGCAAAGATGCGCGGTGGAAGATGTGTTGGCGTGTTTGGTTCTGGGGAGTTTATGGGTGCTCTGACGCGAAGCCTGATGGAACCGGGCTTCGAAACCTCAAAGGGCCAACAAGTCGGCTGCTCTTAGGCAGCCTAGCAGCGCCCAGTCCGTCTCTGCTTTGCGATGGTGGGTTTTCAGCTGGACATGGACCCAGGAATCGGGCTTTCTTTCTCTTTGCCCGTCATAACTCTTGCGGCTCGCTGAACAAAATAGCTTTGAAAAACTGCCGCCAACTAGTATCAACATTCCCACGGCCAAGCAGGCGGGTTCCCAAAAAATATCCGCTTCCACTCTGTGCCTTCCATCGCACATCTCACCGCTAGGCCCCAGCGCGGCCGAGATGTCTCGGCCGGGGGCATAGGGGGGCCGGCTGGAACCGAGGAACAAGTAGAGCGGTAGCAGCGAATCATGGTGGCTTCCAACTTGGAATTTTCTTGAAACTTGTCCCTAGTTTTCAGCTCGACCAGCGCCTCGCGCTTGTTCAAAGAATGTAACAAGGGCCGAGATTCATTTCTCTGCCCAGCCGTACTGTTGTTTACCGATGGTCCATGCAAGCAAACAACCTAAAATTGAACAGCGCCCAGTTTTCGGAAAGGGTAAGGGTCAATACTTCCTAGTTTACTTGGGAAAATATGAAGTGAGTTGGTAGAAACAACGGTCTGTCTGGATTTTGTGGGCGCTCGTTGCCGGGTTCTGTCGCATGCCTCAGGCGCGACTGATGTGGAGTTTACCTTCCTCAGGCGCTATAGGCGTGCGATCCAAAGGGCCGGGTTCTTCCCTGTTCAGTGGGACCCAACAGTGCGTCGTCGTGCCTCTCTTTGGGAAGCCCAAGGGAAAACCACCGGCTTGGGGATGCCCCTGGCCCTATCAAAACACAAACTCCAATCACTTTTGGTTTGGTGGGTTCTCCCAAGCATTGGTGACCCCAGGAAATGGGTTCCAATCCTTTTTCTACCTTACGAGTCACTGGACAACAGGGGCTTGGTGTCTTTTTCGGCATTCCTTTGAAGCCTTCTAAAAGATATATATAGATAGATAGATAGATAGATAGATAGATAGATAGATAGATAGATAGATAGATAGATAGATAGATAGAGATAGAGATAGAGATAGAGATAGAGATAGAAACAGATAGATAAATAGATACATAGATACACGAACACATAGATACACGGATAGATAGACAGATAGATAGACAGACAGACAGACAGACAGATATACATATATATATATATATACATAGATATAGACATAGACATAGACATAGATATAGATATAGATATAGACAGACAGACATATTGATAGATAGATAGGTAGATAGATGGATAGATAGATAAATCGATACATATAGATAGATATATATATATATATAGATAGATAGATAGATAGATAGATAGATAGATAGATAGATATGTATTATGTTTATTCAAGTGCATATATATATATATGCATGTGTATATATACTGTATGTATTTGTCTATACATATATGTATCTACCTTGCATAATGCACATTTATAAATGTGTGAGTGTATGAACGCCGTGACTGGTGTCTAGTGAGGGCTTTTGCTACAGTTTGCCCTTACGTTCGCGGTGGGAAC